TTCTCGAGCTTATACAAATGATTCTCCTCCATCCGCGACTCAAACGGGACCGTCAACTCAATCAGGATGAGTTGCCGTTTTTGCGCAGAATGGAGAACAATGTCCGGTCGCAGGCCGGTTTTACGGATCAACTCGGGAAACCGTTCATGTCCTGGCAGATCAACCGCCAGTAACCAGTCCCTCGCAGAGTCTAGCACAGATGGAGCGACTGCGATTTTGTTGACATTACCTTTTGGAACCTGCCCAGCCTTGAGGAAACGAATGGGGACGATACTAGAACTGGCTCTGGCATTAGCCCTCATTCTAGCCTGGTCGACAACGGCTGCTAACTCTTTTAGCACCTTGTTGTGGCGCCAGGTATAGCGGCCTTGACCTAGGGCTTTCCTGCACGCGGACAGGACGTGCTCAAGAGTTTGCTTTGATTTGCACAACGGGCAAGTCGGATCGTTGGTCGCAGACCATTTAACCATGTTAACACCGGACGGTAATACATCGTACGCCGAACGAACGATAAAGCTCAGTCGCAGCGGGGTCATCCGCCAGATCTCACCCCATGTGAGTATTCTAGGCAATGCGCTCTCCAGGCTGACCCAATGGCCCTGCTGCGACTGCTGGGCTGCTTTCTGAACCCGAATCTCGTTTTCGTTGTCCCTCACCGTTTGTATCACCATGTCTCGGCGTTCTTTGGCTGAGGCCTTTGACCACCAATTGACTTTCCCGTGCCCTAGGCCTCGACGGTCGGTTTGTGTGTAACCCATTACCTCCTTCAATTTTAGTGCGTTCTGAGCAGCTCCTATCGCATCGAGGACCTTCCACTTCTGGCCAGTCTTTAGAGCGGGCTGGACAGCGATGACATTTGGGTCTGAGGACTCGCGCAAAAGCATGGCGAGCCTAACTTTGCCGACTTTAAACTCTTCGGTTATTGACTTGAACGGAAGTACCAGCTTAGCCTGTTTACAATACAGAGCCACGTCGGTCAGACAAGGCGGTGCACCAATCCACTTTCTTAAGGCTGTATTGATTTTCTTTTCCATGGTTTCCACTGCAGTCATCGTCACCTCGTAGACTAGCAGTGGCCATAGAAGCTTCGGAATCAACATGAATTGGAGACACCATACCTTGAATTTCCCGACCAGCCTGCATCGCTCGATCGCGAGCAGGCCTGTAGCCAGTGACTCATGTATTCGCCGGACTTCCGCTCTGTCAGATAACTTCGAATCGTAAACGCGACCGAGACTCTTCACCGGTTCCTCCAGAACCGTAGGGATCTTGTTCCTTGCCACCGTAAAACTGGTCGCCGACACCTTGCCCTTATGGATTGACAGACTCCTCGATTTCTGCGGTTTGAACTGCATACCGCTCCATTGGACCACCGCGTCCAATCTTTTCAGGATCGTGCGGGCAGACTCCTCGCTGCCCGTTATAATAGTCGTGTCATCCATAAATGCGCGCAGTGGCGGTAACCAGTGATCCCCTATTTGAAGGCCCAGTCCGTAGCCGGCCGCCCCGTCTAACATGATCTGCATTGCCATGACAAACAGTATAGGTGAGATCGTACACCCCATAGCTATCCCAATCTGCAACTCAGTCCACCTTGTGGTAAACGTCGAGGTAGAGAAGCGCAAAGCGAACTTGGAGAAATATTGCTCGACCATTTGACTGATCTGTGTCGGTACGTGAAACATGCGAAGGGCTCGCCACAGTAGCCTATGGGGGACTGCCCCGTAGGCGTTGGCTAAGTCCAACCATATAACGTGCAAATTGGTTCTCTCATGCTTGGCTCTCTGGATAGCCTCCCAGATCATGGTCGCGTGTTCAAGGCACCCAGGAACGCCTGGAATGCCACCCTTCTGAACACTCGTATCTATGTACTTGTTAGTCATCAGATACTGTGTGAGCCGGCGAGCCATGACTGAGAAGAATATCTTACCCTCAACATTCAACAGCGAGATGGGCCTGAATTGGGAAAGACTCTTCGAGTCCTGCTCTTTGGGAATGTAGACCCCATTTGCCTTTGACCACTCTGGACATATGTGATTGCGGATCCACGCTTGTCTCAACAAGACGTGAAGCATTTTTAGGATTTTCGGGCAACGCTTGTAAAGAACGTACGGAACACCGTTCGGACCTGGGGCAGACTTGCCGCTGGCTTTTTTCACAACGTCCTCAACCTCAGACCAAAGGGGAGGTACCAGTTTAAATGGTACCTTCGGCACCGAAGGCTGTTTGAGTCCGCTAAGGATCTCTGGATTGTCATCAAGAGGCTCTCTCCTCTTCTTATCAGAGTACATCTTGCTTAGATGTAGCTCAAGTTCTTTCTGACTGACAACCAGAGTCCCAGACTTCGGTTGCTCGAATAGACCTCGGGCAAACTGATACGGGTCCCTAAAGAATTTCTCTCGCTCCCTTTTAGTTCTTCGTCTGTTGTTACAGAAACGCTCGGCGCGACAGAGGGCACTGTGTTTGTTCTTTAAATGCACCCACACTTCGTACAGCCCCTCCCGTTCGCTGCCCGTAGCGGCTTTGAACTGTTTTCTGAGGGCATTCTTGTCTGCCCGACACTTCAGAATGTCCCTCTGCCTCCTGCTAGTATTCTGCTTGGCACCCGGCTGTGCCTTAACTACTGTCCCGAACTCGCGGGAGCAGTGTTCATATATTACATCACCAAATTTAGTTAGCTTGTCGCCTAGCGACTTCTTGTTTAGAGTTTGTTTAAGTACCTCACATAATGTAGCCTCCAACTTACACCACACCACCTTCTCGCTCGCAGGTGGAAACCTGATCTTGGAACGCACTTCTTCAGAAATCATCAAAGGTGCTCCTCCGCAGTCGACGTCATGGGCCTCTCCGGGCGAGTGGGGTTCACCCTGCCCGTCGTACCCTGACGACTCAGAAACCACCACAGGAGTGGTAGTTTTGCGACGGCGTTTACTGCGTGGAGCACCCTCGCATTTCATTCTTCCGGCATGCGTTCTCAGACCATGCAACCCCGTGAAGCTTTTCCCACATGTGACAACTTACAGCAAGGTGACAACTCACAGCAAGGTGACAACTTACAGCATGGTGACAACTTACAGCAAGGTGACAACTTACAGCAAGGTGACAACTTACAGCATGGTGACAACTCACAGCAAGGTGACAACTCACAGCAAGGTGACAACTTACAGCAAGGTGACAACTTACAGCAAGGTGACAACTTACAGTATGGTGACAACTTACAGCATGGTGACAACTTACAGCAAGGTGACAACTTACATCATGGTGACAACTTACAGCATGGTGACAACTTACAGCAAGGTGACAACTTACAGCAAGGTGACAACTAACAGCAAGGTGACAACTTACAGCAAGGTGACAACTAACAGCATGGTGACAACTTACAGTATGGTGACAACTTACAGCATAGTGACAACTTACAGAATGATGACAGCTTACAGCAAGGTGACAACTTACAGCAAGGTGACAACTTACAGCATGGTGACAACTTACAGCAAGGTGACAACTTACAGCATGATGACAGCTTACAGCAAGGTGACAACTTACAGCATGGTGACAACTTACAGCATGGTGACAACTTACAGCATGGTGACAACTTACAGCATGGTGACAACTTACAGCATGGTGACAACTTACAGCATGGTGACAACTTACAGCAAGGTGACAACTTAGAGTATGGTGACAACTTACAGCATGGTGACAACTTACAGCAAGGTGACAACTTACAGCATGGTGACAACTTACAGCAAGGTGACAACTTACAGCAAGGTGACAACTTACAGCATGGTGACAACTTACAGCATGGTGACAACTTACAGCAAGGTGACAACTTACAGCAAGGTGACAACTAACAGCAAGGTGACAACTTACAGCAAGGTGACAACTAACAGCATGGTGACAACTTACAGTATGGTGACAACTTACAGCATGGTGACAACTTACAGCATGATGACAGCTTACAGCAAGGTGACAACTTACAGCAAGGTGACAACTTACAGCATGGTGACAACTTACAGCAAGGTGACATCTTACAGCAAGGTGACAACTTACAGTATGGTGACAACTTAAAACCTGTTGACAACTATTAGCTTGGTGACAACTTACAACAAGGTTACAGCTTACAGCAAAGTGAAAACCTACAGCATACAGACAATTTACAACAAAGTGACAACTTACAACAAGTGAGTGATGACCCCCACTGCCCACAGGTCTGATACTGGGGTCACAGGTTCACCACTGACAGACTCCGGAGAACAGAATTCTGGTGTTCCATAGTTAAATATCAAGTCCTTGGACACAGGCAGCTTGCGGGCAAATCCAAAGTCTATCAGCTGTAGGGAACTGTCCTCACTGGATGTGAATCTGATGTTTGATGGCTGAAAGAAAAGTTAGTTTATTATAGAAATTCTAAAGTATTCTACAGGATACAGTAAAATATCGTGAAAATATGGGGGTGACTGTACTCAAGCTAACACCAATGAATTAAAATTCTTACAGTAAAATATGACAGACCATACATTTTGCAATATATTATTTGTGTCAACATTTAAATTCTTCTTCTTAGTTCACACTTACAAGGGTGACTGGTCTATTATTTTTTGTTTTACAGCAAGACTGTTATAACTATACTTTTTAACCAAACACATTCTTTCATAGAAAACATTTAATTAATCACATGTTGCAATACGCTTATTTAGGCAGGGGGGGATTCTAATCTCTTCCCCTCAAAATAGGGCCCAAAACTCACATGGGGAACTATTTATTTTCTAAATAATGTAGCCCAGTTGACACTCAGTTGGTGATGTGGTTGACATTCTGCTGTTGGTCACCTTTACTTCCCAGGATATTATTTGGTACTGATTTCAGGCTGGGTTGCCACCAGACAAATCTGAATACATGTGGATCTGAACCCAAGACCTTCAGGGGGCAGGTTAGCATCTAGCTACTAAGCAGCTTCTAATATATGATACTCAACATAATCAAACACAGAACAAATGCCCCACCTTGACATCCAGATGAACATAGCCAGAAGTGTGAACATCTCTGAGTGCCAGCAGAACCAGCTTGATCAGCTGAGCTGCTCTAGACTCCGTCCACTTGCTGTCAGCGGTGACTCTCTCCAGCAGGTCCCCACTTTTGGCTCTGTCACTGGGTTAAGGGACTACAACAGTAAAATATCTCAACATCTTATGTGACTCTCATCTGAAGGCTGCAGTTAACAATAGAAAATAGAAACTGGTGTCCTATGTGTAGAGTGACTTGCACTGCTTGGTAAGGTCAGGAGCATATTGTGATTTTCTCCCCCCAACATTAGGGTATGTAGGGCAATCATCAGCACTGAATATACTGGCTGCTGTCACTCCTCTGGGTGGGGAGCTACTTTAAGTTAAATTGCTCAGAAGACTGATTCAGCTGGGAAGTAAGTGGAGGGTATGGTTGGTTTTCTATGTTCAGAGGGAACAAAGGAGCAAATTTTTAATCAGGTTGCAACTGGCACCCTCAGTATTTTAACTCTGTTGACTTTTGAGAAATATCTCAAGTGTAGTGATGTCTGATCCTTCATACAGGAATAACATCCAGTTATTTTATAGGAGGTATAAATTCTGCAAGATATTTTACATTAAAAATACCATATAAAGTTATTATATTGTAATAGGGACAACTTCAAGCTATGTTATAGAAGCTTGGACAAATGGGGAAAAATGGTATGGTGACTGGAGTAATTTCAAACTATTTTATAGAATTTAGGACATCCTTAAATTACTTTATAATAATATAATAACTGGCACAAATAAAAGTTATTTTATAGTAAATGGTGCATCTTCAATTTCTTTTATAGTACTGAGATAGCATCAATTTACTAAAGTGGCTAAGACAAAATACTTTTTTTTTTTTTTAAATAGTGGCTGAAACAGACAACAGAAGTGACTCTCAAGCTTCTAAAGGAGAAGAAGAGCATCACTTTATTAAACAGCAGATTATGTAAAGGATACAGATCAACCACAAGGATGAGCTGCTGGGGACTCTCATATGCATCATGAAGCTTCTCAACATAGGGACTCCTCTGTCTTAAAAGGGCATCTAACTCCAAACGGAAAAAATCTTTGTCTGCTTCATCCCGAACCTTGGTGAACTTTGCAGCAAACTCTTTTCCTGTTAGCCTCTCAATGACTCTCCTGACAACACTGTACCTTCCCCTGGTAAACAGAGTCAAATATGAGGTTTTAATACCCTCCGCTCATTAGACAGTTAAAAATATACATACAGTACTGCATAAATAGAAGCCATTACTTATGTAATCAGCCATGCCATTTTCAGTGTAGTTCACAACATAAATTCATAAAAGGTCAACTGGAAAAAAAATGCATGAAATCCACAGCTCACACTGAGGACTCAATGGAACCTTTGGACTTTCAGTCCAGAAATGGGGAAATTGCATCAGCAAACCATGGCTAGAAGACAGGCCTATATGCCATATAGGACCAGAAGTGAACATGTTACTTCTAAAACACACAAACAATTACAGTATGTTTGTTCCATGTTATACAACAAATAGACTAACAATACATTCTTCTATGACACATAACAAATAAACTGTGATCAAAATGTTGTTCTATGGCACACACATGTCTTAGAGCTTCAGCTGGCCAAACAGACATGTGGATTTTTCTTGAAGATACCTCAGTTGAGTAATTTTGTTTGTAGTTGTAACATTGTCTATTCATGTCATGTGCTGGTAAGGATTTTCTAGCCACAACATTAACCTGTTGTTTGTGACTGTGATACTGTGAAGCTAATTAGTTCTACTTTTCATTTGGTTTATACATTTTCATGATATGGCACACAAATACCCGTACAACAATGAATTGAGACCCATCTTACCGGCCAAGCTCCTCAAGAACATAATAGTCATCCTCAAAGTTGGTCTTCTTGTAGTAGACGACATCTGTGGGGATATCATCTGTAGACAGAAATTAGTAACATTGTTTTCTGTCACTAATGCCAAATATAATTCTATAGAGGATCATGTGTCCCAGAATAACTTAAAGAGCATAACAGTTATCCACAAAGTTGGTCTTCCTATAGTAGAAAGTGTGAGTGGGGATATCATCTGTAGACAGAAATCAGTAACATTGTTTATTGTCACTAGTGCCAAATATAAATCTATGGAGGATCATGTGTCTCAGAATAACCAAAAGAACATAAGAACAGAAGGCAGTGGAAAGATCTGACTGCCAATGCTGCTGTAAGAATAAAACCTAATGTAAAAAAAGAAAAAAAAGGACTTTTTTTTCAAAAACTCAAGTGCAGCATTAGACAAACAATTTTAGAATGATAGTTTTCTAGATCAATTGGCCCTCACTGAGTAATGCAGTTAACATCACATAGGCAGCCTTAACCCTTTCACCCTCGTAAAATACACATACAAAACAAATATTTAAAAAAAAGGGTCATTGTAATTCTATTTTAAAACATCATAAAATAACAACAATTTTACATAGGTCAATAATAAATTTGTTGAAGATGTATTTATCTACATTTGTAAAAAAAATTGTTTTTCAAAATTTAGACAGATATATGAAGGAAGTAATAAATAAATACGAACAGTGTGAAGCATTACATAGATTACATTCCCCTGGGCGTAAAAAAACATATGTATCCAATGACTATGCCATGACCCGGTGATCTCTATCACTGAGGCTATGGTAAAATTTGACATCAACATAGCTTTAAAAAAAGCCATCTTTTGCAAAGAATTCCCCCCCCCCCCCATGCTATTTTTAGTTAATTAGGTCACATCATGGCCTCCTAAACATTTGCACAGCTGTAAAAACAGCTGATAGCATTAACTATTTGTCTTGTTAACAGGTCACTACAGACAAGTTGAGAAGTGAAATCTATGGGGAACTGGACCCAAATGGAAGTGTCGGTTATGTGGCTTCTTGGGGGTGAAAGGGTTAACTTTCTGGGACATCCCCTAGTACCCATGTTACAGTTTCAACCTAGGAGCCAAGTCAGTTAGAAAATAAAATTACTGCAATAAAGGTTCAGACTGAAGACCTTGGGACCAGCATGCAAATGTCTAGCCACCACACTACAAGGACACCCAAGAAAAAGTGCCAAATACTTATTCTTCTCATTTGCTGTTGCTCTGGTAATGTCTTTACAAGTAGTCAAAATTGGACTCTGTAGCTGAAAGCTCAATAATAGTCTCCTAAATAGCTTTGACAGATGTCTTTGTGGGACCATGGGTCAATCGCAGTCTATCAGGTGCCATCTCAACAATGAAGATTGGCTGCAGTGGCTGTTCAACACACTCTTATCTTTCACCCGGGGCATACTTTTTCTAGGACTGCTTTTTGTCTTTCTCTTTGGATTATCCTTCCTCTTGTATCACTATCTGTCTCTTGCTTGAACTTTTCTCTTTGGTATAGTTTTTCTAAGAGTGTTTTAATGAGTCTGCAACTGTTAAAACATGTAGCAGTCCTCAAGCATATTCCTGTTAGTTTTGTCAATCCACACCTCTACAACAAACTACAATGGTGGCATACATTGTGGGACCATCTTTCTTCTTTCTTCTTCTGCTCTTCATCCCACCATTGGAGCACACGCCCACAACCAACTCACATCAATTCGTAGTATCCTTTGGTGCTATTGCATGCAGCTCACCTCACGTCCTCCCCATCTTTTTAAATTCACTTTCACTCACATTCTACATGTGTTTTTGGTCTGCCTTTATTTCTATGACTGTATTGGTTCCAGTGTAAAACCTTTCTAGTTATACTGTTCTTAGGTTTTCTCAGCATGTGTCCTATCCAACGATAGCATTTTTTCTTCACCTCTTTATTCACTGGAATTTGTTTACTTCTCTCCCAAAACTCCACATCAGTGTTTCTGTCATACTACGCAATTCACTCTATTCTGTGCAGGCACAGGTTAATGAATATTGGTACTGATTTACCAGTTTAAAAATCGACATCATAGCACACCAGGCAATCTCATAGGTGCTCCATCTCCTGCAGCAAATGTCTTAAGGTGTAGATACCAACTGTACCCATAACACACTGATTATAAAGTAGTTACTCTCCTCCTTTTGCACGTCCCTTCTTGCTTGATCTACATCTATTTCCTCGTCCACCTATTCTTACACATCTTATTTCATCTAACCTTATATTTTCTATCAGCGTTTGTAAATTATCTTCAGAATGTCTGTCCAATATGAGTGTTCCTGTAGCTTTGGTTTGTAGCCAGAAAATCTGTTTGTTCATTTCCTCACACTCCTGATGCTTGACATCCACTCATACCACATTTGTCCATTTTATACCTTCACAGTTCTGACTGAGAATCAGTCACTATAATTAGTCTGATTACTCTATTTTCTGCTATCCACTTCAGAACTGCACCGACTGCCTCCACCCCCATCCTCATGCTTGAAGCTGTAGATAAAAAAGCACCATTTTGTTCAGCCATGATCTTTCCTTTAACTCTAACTGAAAAAGCACCATTTTGTTCAGCCATGATCTTTCCTTTAACTCTGAAATCCACAGTCAGATCTTTCAGCCCGATGAACAGAACCATCGATGTACACTACTGTATCAAACAGCCCAGCATTTTAATCTATCAGTTGTTGTACCTCTCAATATGCAATGCCATTACACCACTCTCAACATTCCCCTTCCGAAGGTGATAATGACCTGATGAAAACTGCTGTCTGTAGTGTGGAGCCAAGGTTAGTTCTGGGAAAAATCTTGCTTGATGAGGATTTGAATCCTAGACCTTCAGACCAGCATGTAAAGATATAGTTAGTATGCTACCCGGGGCTTCTTTCCCTCCTAGAAACAAAAAGTGCTAGTAGTCACTAAAAAGTGTATAAAAACAGTGCCGATACTCTCCACGAAGTGTCTTTTAAAGTAGTATTGAAAAACTGGTGGTTTAAAAAAAAAAAAAAAAGGTGCCAGTACTGTGTACCACCAGACAAAAAGCCTTGATGCTAATGCAGGTCTCAGGACAAATACTTTTTAAAAATTTTCAACTATCCAGTATTCCTAAAACAATAACAATGTCTCTAAATATTAGACTTTGCTCTGTCTATTATTTCTTTCTCTATTTTATCTCCTTTTTGTCGTATATGTCACACACACATTCTCTGACATATATACACATGTGATCTAGATGCCCACACATACACATTCTCTGACATATATACACATGTGATCTAGATGCCCACACATACACATTCTCTGACATATATACACATGTGATCTAGATGCCCACACATACACATTCTCTGACATATATACACATGTGATCTAGATGCCCACACATACACATTCTCTGACATATATACACATGTGATCTAGATGCCCACACATACACATTCTCTGACATATATACACATGTGATCTAGATGCCCACACATACACATTCTCTGACATATATACACATGTGATCTAGATGCCCACACATACACATTCTCTGACATATATACACATGTGATCTAGATGCCCACACATACACATTCTCTGACATATATACACATGTGATCTAGATGCCCACACACACACATTCTCTGACATATATACACATGTGATCTAGATGCCCACACATACACATTCTCTGACATATATACACATGTGATCTAGATGCCCACACATACACATTCTCTGACATATATACACATGTGATCTAGATGCCCACACATACACATTCTCTGACATATATACACATGTGATCTAGATGCCCACACATACACATTCTCTGACATATATACACATGTGATCTAGATGCCCACACATACACATTCTCTGACATATATACACATGTGATCTAGATGCCCACACATACACATTCTCTGACATATATACACATGTGATCTAGATGCCCACACACACACATTCTCTGACATATATACACATGTGATCTAGATGCCCACACATACACATTCTCTGACATATATACACATGTGATCTAGATGCCCACACATACACATATGCATTAACACATCCACAAATGTCAAGGAAGGTCTAGCCATGCTCAAGACTTTGTCCGCTGCATTCTCAGTCCCATACACACATATATGCTCCATCAAACCCACATACACCCATACACTCATGTCCTAACATTTCCTCTACACACGCACATATTCTGATGCAGCCATACACATCCAGACACAATGTTCACGTGAGCCAGCCTGGCATACATACCATCTACAGAAAGTCTGGCCATGCTCAAGACTTTGCCCGCTGCATTCTCAGCCACACAAATATAGCAGCCGGCGAGGGACGGTCCTGCCTGTTCGATATGTAAACTCCACTGATCTACTCCATCTTGTGTCACCTGAAAGATAGTTCAAAACTTGTCACACCTTGTGATACAATGAAAAATTGTCTTAATCTGACAGAATGTATAAAAGTATCAAAGACTTACAAAAAAATTAACTACTACTAAAGGCTTACAGAAAATAAACAATCATAGACAGTCTGAAAGTGAAAGACTATCATACAGTGAGAGAAAATAAGAAACTATCATAGACTGAAAAAAAAAGACTATCAAAGACTGACAGAGAGTAAGAAACTATCATAGAGTGAAAGTAAGAGAGTATGAAAAAAATTGACAGAAAGTAATAAATTATCATAAACAGACAGAAATTAAGACACTATCCCAGACTGAGAGAAATAAATAAAAGATTTCAATTATCAAAGATTGCCAGAAAGCAAGCAACTATCACGGAATGAGAGAAAGAAAAACAAGATTTTAACCATTAAAGATTGACAGAAAGTAGGAAACTATCACAGACAGAGAAAGTGAGAAACTATCACAGACTGACAGAGAGTAAAAAACTATCATAAACCGACAAAAAGTAATTTTCACAAGATAAAAAGTAAGACTGCAATAACCAGTTAAACAGTAAGGAAAAGAATTTTATACATGGTTAAAGAGTTAGAAACTATCATTAACTGATAGAAGTAAGAAACTATCGGCTGATAAAAGCATGAAAATATCATTAACTGAGAACTATTGACCATAACTCTGACCTTAAACCTGGAGGTATCTGTCAGTGGCTTCCCATCTTTCATAAACTTGACAGCAGGAAGTGGGATGCCATCCACCCGACATGTGAACCGTCCTTGGCCTTGAGATTTCAGCTGTAAGTCTCTGATTGGTTCCAGGAAGGTGGGTGGATCTGAAGAAATAAAACAATGCACATATTTCCCTGTTGTGAGTTTGAACAAAGAAGAAATAAACAACAGGTTGCATAATTTATTGCCTTACATATTTAGCTGTATCTCTTTGGGTAGAGGGTTGCATGGTCTTGAGGCATGGTGTCCGCCTCGACTGCTAAGGTTCAGGGTTTAATCCCAGGTAAGGGCTGGGATTTTTTTACGTGGACTTAAACTTTTATTATTTCCTTCTGGTCTCTGGGTAGTGAGATCGGACGTCCGTGTGCATTGTTGCACATGTAAAAAATCCCTTTGGGAGTTGGAAGTCAAAAAGAGTAGCCTAACAGGGCTGCCTGGGAAAACTTTGGAGTTAAAAATCTACCTAAAGTATTTCAGGATCCTCGCCGGTGCTACAGAACCTGTGCACTGTGCTGAGCTTTTTCGGACTCAGACTTGAGTTAGAAGAAAGAAGTACTTATGGGTTACTACCCATGTGCCATGATGATGATCCATTGTTCAAAAACTCAAAACCTCTTAGGGTGCATACTGATGAAATACGGCAAAAAAAGCCAAGGCAATAGTGCAACATATTGTTCATGCCTTTGTTGTTCAAATAATGCACACATAAATTTGTCAGAATAATATGATGGTGGTGGTGGTTTCTAGCAGTTGAAGAATCACAGACAAACAAAACAGCATCACCTACAGCAAGAAGATTATAAAATTATACATGTGACAATCTCAACCTGTCCTTAAATGAGCAGGAACCAAGATTCTGACCAAGATATGATTGTTTTATCATTGACAATGAGACTATAATTAGTCGATTAGGTTAGGGGAGCTGTGTGGTCTTGAGGCATGGTGTCTGCCTCGAGTGCTAACGGTTCCAGGTTCAATCCCCGGTAAGGGCTTGGATTTTTACACATGGACTTGGACTTCTAGTTATTCCCCCTGGTCTCTGTGTAGTGAGATCGGATGCCTGTGTGCATTGTTTCGCACGTAAAAAACCCTTGGCAGTTGGAAATCTAAAAGAGTAGCCTAACGGTGCTGCCCGGGCAAAATTTGGAGATAAAAGTCTACCCAAAGTATTTCAGGGTCTTCACCTGTGCACTGTGCTGAGTCAGACATGAGTTAGAAGAAGAATGGAGCACTTACAGGTTACTACAGTTGTGTCATGATGTTGATCCATTGTAAAAACTTCAATTAGTTGACAGATCATCGGCATAGTACACCAAACCATTCTGCGTGTCCCCATAAGTACTTGGATCACCTCCTCAGTAAATCCCATAGCATTTAGTGACTGACAACACCAGTTTTATGTTGCTTTATTCTTCTTCTTTGACTTCCTATATGATGTTCTTGTCTGGCAACACCCCTTTTAACTTGCTGCTCCTGTAGTCTGATCATAACAATGAGACTGTAAAGAACCACTAATCAGTCTATGAGGTCAGCATGGCTAGCTCATTCATTAACTGGTGCCTGAGAAGAACAGAGGGAATAAAGACTTATTCAGTTCACAACTGCAATTTTTATGGAGATCCATGGAGATGATTGCTGGACCTAGGCAGGCAGCTAGCCATACTGTAGAGAGAAGCCAAGACCTGGAGGACAAAACCGAGAGAATGAAGTTGATCCTAAATTATTACAACTAATCGTCCCCTCGTGGGATGCAATTTTTGTTTGAAGCTCTAACCTGGCTACTGCCTGAGGCCCTGAACATATAGCCATAGATATGGCCTAGCCATAGATATGGCCTAACGGCTGAAAGGGGTTTGTGAGACCTCTCCACGGGTGATCCTCATCAGCATGGTGGCACTTTGTGTCCCCGGGTGTCTATCGCTTGTGTGATGTCCTGGTGGGGTACAACTACCTACCTACCTTGATCCTAAATGATACTTCTAAGGGAACTAACTGTGTGACACAATCACTAATGCTCATCTTTGATAACAAAAGGTGCCCACAGAGCCAAAGAAATAAAGGGAGCTTTAAAGAAAGAAAAAAAAAACAACTGAGGGAGCAGAGAATTAGAGAAATGGATAAATAGAGAAGAAATATAGTGAGTTGTTCAGGATGGCAAAGGATCGAGAGACATGACATGAGTTAATCATGGGTCTATGCTCTATGAGAGAATAAAGGGTAGAAGAAGAAGAAGAACAACAACAACAACAAGCTCAGCAGTTCAACATGAATAACAAAAGTGTTAAACAGAAAACACAAATTTCATCAGCGCTGACATATATACAAACTCACCTGACATCTGAAGTTTAACAACAAAGGTTGTCTGTCCTTGTTCATTCTCTGCCTCACACCTGTAGTCTCCTACATCATCCCAGGTGAAGGGAGCAAACTCCAGCACAGCAAGACCTGAACACGCACAAACAGTTCACATAAAATACAGGCAAGACAAAGTTGAAAACTAGAAGCCACAGTTAAACATGAACGAAACAATTATGGGGCTGACCAGTTTGCTGTGGAGTTGAAATGCAATTAACTGATTAACTATTTCTCCTCTAATTCTAACAGAACTTGTTCAAGTCCTGTTGGGGACTGTATAGATTTTGATAAAATAAGACAAGGATAGCACATACTGACGCTCTTATAGGTTTTATATTTACATCTATATAGCGTGGTAGTGTTCTTATAGAGTTTATAGCTAGGTAAACTTTTCATTGTCCTGTTGTGCCATTATACATCACACAGGGCTCCCAGTCTATCACCTCTATTACATTCTATCCTATGCAATAGATTTGATATTAGAATGGAATCCAGTCTAGCCCTTTGGCCTCCTTCATCGAGTTTGTCTTAAGTTTCTTCCGGGCATCCTCTTTAATCCATATATTTCCCATTGTAATGCCTGTTTGGTGATTCTCTGCTGGTTTCTTCTCAAGGATGTGTCCAGTGTAGCGCCATCTTTTAAGTCTTTTAACTCTTGGTACTAGTGGCAGCACAGACATTTCTCTTATTGCTTCACTCTTTTTGAATTCATCAGTTGTCTATAAATTAGCTAACAAAGGTGCAAATGAAGAACAACCTGATGTACCAGTCTCTTATCAACAAAAGAGAATAATGAAATCAGTCAGAAAGCCACAAAAACCGGCATTTGATGATTACCATTTTATGGACAGATCTGAGCAAGTTATTATTCTACGCCTTAGAACAGGACACAGTCGACTTTGCAGCCACATGTACACAAAATTTTAATTTAAATTGGTGAATCAGCCGTGTGCACATGTGGACTGGCACCTGAGACAACAGATCATGTCCTTCAAGACTGTCTCAAATATCAAGGCAAAACTTTTTTACCAAGAGAAACATCTGTGCAAGTCAAACTTTACGGGTCACTGAGTTCATTACAAAATTCAGTGAAGTTCCTACTAGAGACAACATTGCAGACATAGATAATCTATTACAAGCGAACAAAAGAAGAAGAAGAAGAAAAAGAATTCATCCCATTTTATTTTCATCACTTTCCTCAGACATTTTTTTCTAATTATATGATGCCTATCATTTGAACAGCTTGTAGACCACACTATTACCATGGCCAAGAAAGGCCTGTCAGCAATAAAAGTTACAGCTGCTACAGTTTTTGAACAATGGCTGCTTGTGATGGTGTACTAGGATTAGTCCTTACCACCACTAAGTATTTCTAGCTGTCATGAGACAATGTTAACAGGCAATGCATGTTAACCCTACCAGAACGCTGGCCCGATTTTTCGGAAATTTTCTAACCTGACGCTATACCGCTGGCCCCATTTTCCTGGAATTTTCTAACCTGACGCTATACCACTGGCCCCATTTTTCGGGAATTTGCATAGTACGTGAAAAATATGTGTCACAGACTAAAAATAACCAGCCAATCGCCATCAGACTTTGTGGTTAGTCATTGCGAATGACTTCCCATGTGTGTTGAGATATCTTTGTGTGGTTTGATGTGAAAAAATTAGGAAAATTCTCAAAGAAACAAGCGGCTTCGACAAGAAAGTGACGTAGGTCTAGGCTTATCACAGTCCAACAGGTGACTTTGGTTAATTCAGATTGTGAGTACGTTCATGAAGAATGTGTTTGCAGTTGAAGTGACACAGTCAGTGAAAGCTAGAGTGAGGAGGAGAATTACGAAAATTATAGATCTAAAAACAGATCAATAGTAAGAGAAAGGGGCGTGTCCCTCAAACAGCAACATTTGGTGCTTACTTTGTGAAACAAGACTGATCCTACTAGGTGGATTGGCACACAACGGGGGAAGATTGGTGCTAGATCAAAGGTAAACCTATTTTCTACAATGTCTCCAAGTTTCATCTTATTCTAACCACTTGTTTCCATGTAACAAATATTTTTGTACATCATGGTGGTTTTTTCGTGTTAATGCCCAGGAGCTCAGGTTATAGGGACAGTTAGGTTCAGGGCCTCAGGTCTGGTAGGATTAATCTCAGGTCCATTAGATACACCTCCTATAGTCTATTCCAAAAGTGTTGCCCTAAAACTGGAATAAATATCTCAAAGACTCCTATACTGATCAATACAAATGTGTGCATGGTGTCTTAGATTTCCTATGTCCTTATGATTTTATAACTGACAATTGCACAGATGCTGCTGTTTTCTTGAAGTGGTGAATTTCCTTGATCTTTGACTAATAATTTGTGTACCCCGGATACAATAAAAATATTTTATTCACGTCTCATAGGAGGCTAATCCAGAAGAATGACCATGTGAGTGTGAATCACCAACAAACTGAGTTTCAGTTATGTAAATGAGATTATGACAGTACATGATGTTTTTAATTCACTATTCAAATAAGTGCACCTTGCACAGATTACTTCTAAAACATGGACAGTTTGATGTTTTGCAAAATTCACATCATTCCATAAATGTAAACATGCTGTGTGCTTTGAATCTGTGTCTGTTGGTTGTTTTTTTTACATACAGTCCACACAAAAAAAGCAAAATAAAAACTAGTCATTTGTTCACATTTTAATTGTTTTCCTACAAGTACATGACTATTAACAGGTTGCAGGCCGAATGTCAATTACTTATACTGAATGGAAGTTGCAGAGGTGTGGTTTTATAGATCATCATCATCATCATCAGTTCTCGTTATGCCTAGTGGTACATGAGGCTTCAGAGAGGACTTTCCATGCTTTCCTGTCCTGTGCAATCTTCAGTGCAGTTTTCCATGTCAAAGATGTCGCATTCAGGTCACTTTCCATCGTTCGTCTCCATGTTGTTTTTGGGCGCCCCTGTTTTCTCTTTCCCTCTGGTGTCCATGTGAGAGCTGTTTTGGCAGGTATATCAGAAGTCCTTCTCATAACGTGGCCAAGCCATTTCCATCTTCTCTTGGTAATCATACTGTCTAAAGTTTCTTGGTTTGTGGCTTGAAGTAGTTTAGTGTTTGAGATTTTATCTGGCCAGCAAATTTTGATAATTCTACATAGACATGTGTGGTGGAAGGTGGACAGCTTGTGTGCATCCTTTTTGGTCATTCTCCAGCACTCCGCTCCATAAAGAAGAACTGGCGAAATGATGCTCTTGCAGAGTCGGAGTTTCGTTCCTCTGTTTTATAGATGAATGATGAGAATTCTATGGCAACATATTTAAAATGGTCTGGAAAGATGAATTCTTGAAGGCATGATTCTGAAAGATGAAGGGACTTACTAGCACAAATGTTATGAAAGTACATGAGAGGCAGAGAAAGTAAAACTGAGTGGGTTTATGGTGAGCCATGATGGGAATAACATTATCCAAAGGACCTTGTGCACAATGATGACACTTTAATAATAGATATATTAGCCTGTCTAACATAATAATGTACCAATAACTGAAGGAGACAGAAATGTTCAACACTAAGCATGGAAACATGCTGTGTTCTTTAAGAGTGAATGACTCCCACACACCCAGGCACACATACACACCCAGGCATACACACATGCATGCACACACCCATTCATGCAGGCGGCATGCATGCAAACAAGCATGCACACACTCATGGACACTCTCTTGCTCTCTGTCTGTCTTTCTCTTGCTCTCTCTCTCTCAAATGCAAACATTGTATTATATCAACATACCTGATGGTGTTACATATCCATCGTATCTGTCACCAAACACAAGCTTCTTGCCCTTAAAATACCAGTCCACAGTTGGAAGTGGATTTCCATGCAGCTGCAGGGAAAGCTTCACGGGCTGGCCATCTATGCCGTACTGGACACCAGAACATCCTGCAGGCACAAACTCTGGAGAGGTGGCTGAAATATGCATGCAGTCATCATGTCAGTACTGGTGGCTGCTGAGTTGATAGATGTTGCATTTTGGCACAAATGATTTTATTATGAAATGAGTCAGTTTCATAAGTGCGAAGGGTTTGGTCATGTGAACGTTGTGTCTGTGTTTTATTACTTTAACAGGTCCAACTGTTTGACTGGGAACAACCATATTTCTAGTATTTGTGCAGAATGGAAGGTGGATGACAGGATCACTACTGTAGAGTTTAGGGAGTGAACTTAACATATTTCTGCAATTCAGGATCAGGTACTGGATAGGACACAGATTTGGAAAATGTGATAATCAAACAGCTAGAATGTCTTGCATTGAATACCACATGACAAAAGAAATGGAAGGAGGCCTAAAAACCCCATGGAGAATAGAAATGAATCAGAGGTTAATATGCTTCAGACACTGAGTTGGCTACATGTAACGGCAAATGTCAGGAATGGGCTTGGGGTGAGTTGGTAGAGAGTCTATGCCTCAGTGAGGGATAAAGGACAGAACAGAAGTGGCAGATGAGTGGATCCGGGACAAGTTAAAGGGACTCACAGTGGTATTTCTCTTCTTCTTAGCATTAACTGGCTGTGAACTCCTGCAGAAAGTTGTGGTTGTTCATCCACTTCTAGACTTTAGTCAGATTCCAGAGTTTTGCATGCAAACTGATTTATTTACATGCAGGCTGTTTGTTCCCTGCCTCAGAGGCAGATACACTCTGAAGGAAAACCCATAATTAATCACCTTTTAGGACATGCTTGTTTGGGGTAGTTCTTCTTCTTCTTCACGTTCACCAGCTGTACACTCTGGCGGAAAGTTCTGGTTGCTCGCCCAGTACTGAACTGCAGTCCTGCTCCAGAACCTGAGTGTGGCATGTGCATCAGTTTGACAGATCTCATTCTCTTGAATACAGACTGTTGGTTCCTTGCCTCTCCGGCAGATGCACTCCAACTTCAAAGAAAGCTCCCAAATTAGTCGACTCTTACGACATGCTTTTGGGGAGGCAGTGGGTTTATTCTTGTTTTCCCCTACAATGGGACCCCGCAACCCACACGTGGGTTTGGGGTAGTTAATCTATCCTCCCCCCCCCCCACCCCTCTTCCCCAAATGAGACCCCGGGACAACAGTATTTAAAGTACAGTAGTGCTATAGGCAGCTGTGTCACAACTCACACACAGTGTCTGGAGTCCTCCCAGCATCATCCTCTTTCCTGGAAGTTTCTCTGGAAAAAAAGCTGGCCACCGATGAACCCCGGTCCATGGACATTGATCGCTCCCGAGACACTCGCCGTTCTATGGAGCTAAACCTTTCAACTGAACTTCTCCTTCGCATTGTTCTGGGTTCAGCTGTGGCAGCCTTCTCACGGGTCAATGACACAGGAAGTGTTGGTTCACTCATGCCTGACTCATTGTAGGCTCGAACTCTGATGTTGAAAGAATGTGGATTATTGTAGTTTTAAAAATGTTTATTGATATAGTACTTATATAATGTTTTGACTAAAATAAAATGGTATACTACTTAAAGAAAAAATTGCAATATCTAAAAATGGGCTATCCTCCGAATAACGGTCCTAAATTATCTACGCAGAAAATGAACCCTAACAGAGCCTCATTATGTCATGCCGTACCAAGATTTAAAAGTTGTAACTCGGAATATATAAGGAATGAAGAGTATGAGGAAAAGGGGGAAGTCTACTACTTACGATAATTAAATCATTTATATGTGAAAATTGTGGCACAGAAGTTGCAAATAGTGCCCAAATATGTGTTCTTTCTGGCTGTGCCGCGATTGCAACTCCGCCAAATATAGAGTGATCGTACAATGACGCGTTCTAATGTACGCGCATCTCGCCTCAGGACAACTTCAAACCAGCAGCGGCCACTACGGCACTCCACTAGCCCGACCACACAGTGACCATGGGGAATCTGACCACGCTCATAGTTGCAACGGAAGAAGTAGCAAATGTAAATTGTAAGACTTTTTTTCCGGCGACTATAGTGCCACCTCCAAAAGTATCCCCCGCGCCGCGGGGGCTAAACTAGATGGCTAGGACTCACGAGCAAATACAATGGAGGAAGCTACAGGAGAAGCGGTAGCTGCTGCTCGTGAGTCCCAGCCATCTAGTTTAGCATCCCCATCGGAGGTAGCATTATAGTCGCCGGAAAGTGGTTCGCAACTTGCATATAACTGAGGCCCTGCCGTAGGATAGCCATATCGGGTGTATTCTTGCATTTCACTAATTTTACCTCCGTAGTTAATCCTAGCTTTGCAGCCATTTAATCGTCGTAAAAAAATATGTTGTGTTTCGCAAAAATTTTGTGCGCAATAATACTACTTTTGACGCGGTTGATTCGCCGCAAAAGAAATGCAAATTTTAGATATTGCTGAGGCTCTGTTAAGGCTCATTTTCTGCGGAGATAATTTAGGACTGTTATTCGGAGGATAGCCCTAAAAATATATTATTTTAATAAAAGAATGTGTTGTAATTACCTAAAGAAAGTTATATTACATAAATTGTATTGTATTACTTAATGTATAATATAACTTAAAGAATGGGTTAGTTAAATAATGTACTATATTACCTAAATAATGTATTATATTACTTAAAGAATGTGTTATGTTACCAACAATGTGTTGAATTACCTAAAAGAAAAATTATCACATCCCTTGAAGAATGTGAATTGTTACATTACTTAAATCATATTGGATGAAACCTGTCTGAATACTGGAGAAAAAGTGAATGGCAAGTCAAACTGGAGTGTCTGAATGATGTAGACAAAGTGAATGGCAAGTCAAACTGAAGCATCTAAATGCTGGAGAAAAGTGAATGGCAAGTCAACCTGGAGTGTCTTAATGCTGGAGAAAAAGTGAATGGCAAGTCAAATTGGAGTGTCTTAATGCTGGAGAAAAAGTGAATGGCAAGTCAAACTGGAGTGTCTGAATGATGGAGAAAAAGTGAATGGCAAGTCAACCTGGAGTGTCTGAATGATGGAGAAAAAGTAAATGGCAAGTCAAACTGGAGCATCTAAATGCTGGAGAAAAGTGAATGGCAAGTCAAACTGGAGTGTCTAAATGCTGGATAAAAGTGAATGGCAAGTCAAACTGGAGGGTCTGAATGATGGAGACAAAGTGAATGGCAAGTCAAATTGGAGTGTCTTAATGCTGGAGAAAAAGTGAATGGTAAGTCAAACTGGAGTGTCTGAATGATGGAGAAAAAGTGAATGGCAAGTCAACCTGGAGTGTCTGAATGATGGAGAAAAAGTGAATGGCAAGTCAAACTGGAGCATCTAAATGCTGGAGAAAAGTGAATGGCAAGTCAAACTGGAGCGTCTAAATGCTGGAGAAAAGTGAATGGCAAGTCAAACTGGAGGGTCTGAATGATGGAGACAAAGTGAATGGCAAGTCAAACTGGAGTGTCTGAATGCTGGAGAAAAAGTGAATGGAAAGTCAAACTGGAGTGTCTGAATGCTGGAGACAAAGTGAATAGCAAGTCAAACTGAAGTGTCTAAATGCTGGAGACAAAGTGAAGGGCAAGTCAAACTGGAGCATCTAAATACTGGAGAAAAAGTGAATAGCAAGTCAAACTGGAGTGTCTGAATGATGGAGAAAAAGTGAAGGGCAAGTCAAACTGGAGCATCTAAATACTGGAGAAAAAGTGAATAGCAAGTCAAACTGGAGTGTCTGAATGATGGAGAAAAAGTGAATGGCCAGTCAAACTGGAGTGTCTGAATGATGGAGAAAAAGTGAATGGCCAGTCAAACTGGAGTGTCTGAATGATGGAGAAAAAGTGAATGGCCAGTCAAACTGGAGTGTCTGAATGATGGAGAAAAAGTGAATGGCCAGTCAAACTGGAGTGTCTGAATGATGGAGAAAAAGTGAATAGCAAGTCAAACTGGAGTGTCTGAATGATGGAGAAAAAGTGAATGGCCAGTCAAACTGGAGTGTCTGAATGATGGAGAAAAAGTGAATAGCCAGTCAAACTGGAGTGTCTGAATGATGGAGAAAAAGTGAATAGCAAGTCAAACTGGAGCATCTAAATGCTGGAGAAAAAGTCAATGGCAAGTCAAACTGGAGTGTCTGAATGATGGAGAAAAAGTGAATAGCAAGTCAAACTGGAGCATCTAAATGCTGGAGAAAAAGTCAATGGCAAGTAAATTGGAGTGTCTGAATGCTGGAGAAAAGAGTAGCTGGCAAGTAGTCATAGCGAATGAAGACTGACAAAAGTGCACCATCAAGATGTTAGAAAGTGTTGCAGATCATTACAATAGATTTTAAAACTGATAATGATGGCAATAAAAATCTACTTACATAAGCTTACAGATATAAGATTACATATACAATTTACAGAGTGACAAACAGACGTATAGATGACAGATAAACAGGTGCTATCATCGACATGCAAAAAGCTTGTTGGACTTTATGGCTCAGTTTGGAGGTAGGTGATGAAAGACAAGTTTGGTGTTTTTGCCTTGACTGCAAGTAGTCTGACTAGAGAGGCCATGACAGTGACCAAAGCAGTAACCTGACTAGAGACACAGATCCTCACTTAGGAATGTTTTTCCACTGACTAAATGAATATGTTAGGAAGACCGAGATGGGTTGGGTCCCAAAACAGTGGTTGGTGTCTCTGGGGTGGTAAAAGCTCACAAAGAGCAGTTTTCATGCTAGGGAATGTAGGTGTAAAAGGAGATGAGCAAGCTAAAAGGCTTGCAGGTAAGGCAACTTGGTGGGGGACCCAAAAAAAAAGGGGGGAGGGGGGGTGGGCATGGACCAGGCTGATATACTGAACAAGAAGTAAGCTCTACAAGAAGCAAGCTCTATAAGAAGTAAGCTCTACAAGAAGTAAGACCCTTGTGAGAGCCAAGTAAGGGTGCAATCCGCAACCATAGCCAACTGTAAGAACAGCAAGTTAAACAGAGTGGCAAAACAAAAGCACTATGCAGGAAGCAAAAGAATAATAATAAACCAACTCAGAATTGGTGTTGTAAGCTGCTACACACTGAGGTTTACTAAGCAGGTTATCTGAGCACTTAACTCTTTGAGTCCCAGAGGGTTTAGCATCACAGGCCCAAGGAGTAGTCAAAAGAGACTAAAATCGGCGCATCATGCATTCATTGGGCTTCTAGGCAGTAACCTATGAACGTATGATGCGTTCCTTGGGACTCAGAGAGTTAAGGACTGAATGGTTTGATGTGCAGTTAGATTGATCTGTCAACTAACTAACTAACTAACTAATTTAACTAACTGACTAACTAAACTAAACTAAACGAAACCACTGACTGACTGACTGACTAACTAACTAAACAACCAACAAACTAACCTAAACATGTAGTCCTGGTCTGGCTTCAGACCTGACATCTTGTATCTAGTTCCTGTTACTGACTCAGTGATCTTTGTCCACATGTGGTTAGGTGGCTGGCGTGCTTCCACAATATAACTAATAGTTACCTGTTAAGAAAAGTGATTGTTAAGAGAAGTTTTTTTTTTTAATATATTTTTTTTTTCAGAACACACATTTCTATACTGAAACATGGCAGTGTCATCACAGAAATACGTATATCACCAATAAACTCTAACAATGCCAGGCAAGCATATGAAGTCAACATGTTAACACACTGCATACCAAAATAAATCTTTTACAGAGAGATCATCATCATCATCATGAAGCAGGTCCTTTGCAGAACGTTGCTCTCATCATGGTCTGCTGAAAGAAATTTGATTTCTTGCCAGCTCTCCTGCCTCATGTACTTTCATATTCAAGAAGTCACTTCTATCCTGTGCCAATCTTTGCACTGGTAGGCGACTGCCCCTCCTTCCTGGTACCATGTCTTCTGCTATTATTTTTTCCAATTTGCCATGGTTATCAAAATATTTCAGCTTTCAAGACAAGATGGTGTTTATTAGCCAGTCTTCTTTGATGTCAAGATCTTTTAAAATATCAGTATTTCTTCTATTCTTTGTCTATGGAATTCTGAGAATATTTATATAGCATTTCAGCTCAAAAGCCCCTATTTTCTTTCTTAAGGACTGAGAGATAGTCCATCATTCCCATCTGTTTGTTGCTACAGGAAGACACTAAAACAAAAATGATCCCATTGACAAAAGAAATGATTCAAGCATAATTTCAAGAGAATAAAGTATCTTTTTCTGCAGATAATGAGAATAACAGCAAGCAGGCGGTCTGGATGATTTTCTAAAACATAGTACAAACAGACAAACTTTTAATCAGGTTGTAACTGGCACCCTATGGTACCAGGAAGGAGGGGCAGGGGCTGACCCACATGAAGATAGGCCCAGGATATAAATGACTCCTTGAGTATGAAAGTATATGAGGAAAGCTGGCGAGAGAAAGAGTTTCTTTGAGGCAGACTGTGATGTGAGTGATGTTCTGCAAAGGACCAGCTACATGATGATGAAATGGCACCATTAGTTTGGGAATGCTGTGTTGGCTACTGAAGACAGGGATGGAGCAGGTATGGGAATATCCCAAGTGCAGTGATGTCAGTTTTTGTTAATTCCTTCATTCAGACAATTTCAAGATATTGTTTAATATTCATTTTGATATCTTGGAAGTTACATCCTAATCTGTTCACTGGGAAGGTCAACAAAGAATTTAACTCTTTGAGTCCCAGGGGGTTTAGCATCAGAAGCCCAAGGGGTAGTCAAGAGAGATGTAAAATCGATGCATCTTGCATTCATTAGGCTTCTAGGCGGAAACCTATGAACATATGATGCATTCCTTGGGTCTCAAAGAGGTTTTTTTTAAATAGTCTGAGAACTGAATCAGTCATTTTATTTCTCACATGTCTCGTTTCATCTTCTCTAATGACCTCTTGGTCTGGTACCCTGAGTGTATCCAGTGTGTGCTTTCTCTGCCAGTCAGGATCTGCATCTTTTAACATGGTTAAAGTATCTTAATCAAACCCTTTGGTAACACATCAGCTGGTGAAAGAGTAAACACTCACAGGTCCCTTGATGTAGGAAGGCATTCGGCCAGGCTGCCATGTCAGTGTCAGACTTGTGTCTGTGATGTCTCCCAGTGATGGCCGACCTGCAGGCACTCGTGGTGGCACTGTGGAGAGTTGTTTTATAGCATTACTCACAGCTGTACTGAAAATATCTTGGTTATATCACTAGTTGTGGGGATAACTAAGCGGGCTGAGTGGAAGTAGTGAAACAAGCTGTGTGGGAATAGTGAAACTATGTGCTTGTGTGGGAATAATGAAACAATGTGTTTGTATAGGAATAGTGAAATAAGCTGTGTGGAAATAATAACAAAAATGTGTCTGGGTTGGTACAGTAAAGCAAGCTGTGTTAAGATAGTGAAACAATGTGCCTATGTGGGAATAATGAAACAATGTGTCTGTAGGGAAATAATGAAATATGCTGTGTGGAAATAATTTTTTTTAAAATGTGTTTGAGTGGGTACAGTGAAACAAGGTGTGTTGGAATGGTGAAACAATGCATCTTTATGGGAATAATGAAATAATGTGTATGTGTGAAAAAAATGAAATCAGCTGTGTGGAAATAATGAAATAATGTGTCTGGGTGGAAATTGTGAAATAATGTAATGGCTGTGAATAATGAAAAATTCTGTTTGTGTGGGAATAGTAAAACAAGGTGTTTCTGTGGGAATAATGAACCAATGTGTCTGGGTGAAAATGGTGAAACAAAGTGTGGGTACTATGAAACAAGCTGTGTGGGAATAATGAAACAATGTGTCTGTAGGGGAATAATTAAATATGCTGTGTGAAAATAATTTTAAAACAAATGTGTTTGGGTCGGTACAGTAAAACATGGTGTGTTGGAATGGTGAAACAATGTGCCTTCGTGTGAATAATGAAATAATGTGTATGTGTGGAAATAATGAAACAATTTGTTTGTGTGGGAATAGTAAATGAAGGTGTTTCTGTGGGAATAATAAACTAATGTGGCTGGGTAGAAATGGTGAAACAATGTGTGGGGACAATGAAACAAGCTGTGTGGGAATAATGAAACAACGTGTTTGCGTAGGAATAGTGAGAGAATATATCTGTGAGGGAATAGTGAAACAATGTGGACACAATGCAGTTAGTGCGAGAACAAATAAACAATTATTCTTTCATTCATGTAAATTTTCTTCTTCTTCTCTATTTGCCCAAAGAAGGGTGGCTGGCACGCTGTATTGTAGATTTACAGCTAGACTATATACAAATCCTTCATTAGTTGCCTTTTACTATATGCATGTTAGAGGGCAGCCCCCCTCCCCCCACTCCCAGCTTGGGGCCCCAGATTGGTTTTTCATATAAATAAAATCCTTTCCTTTTGCCCATTCTTTCTCAGACATTGTTTTCTTTCACTTGTTATTTCATTTGTGCAATAGAAAGATTACTTCATCTTACCTCCAGAGGAAATAGAATCAATGTAGCTGTAGGAAGATCTTCGACTAGAACTGTCCAGTTCTCTTTCTCTGGATGCACTACTGCGGATAAACTGAGGAGCTGCAAAAAAATATTTAAAGACAAGAAATAAACAATAAAATAATGTATAATCCTAGAAACAAACACATGAATCATAAACATCACAGCACACAATCTTCTGCACCATAAGATACAATCTTCTACACAATAACACACAATCTAAAACATTTTTACACACAGTCTTTTACACCACAACATAGGATCTTATATATCAAAACACACAATCTACTTATCACAACATATGATTATTTGAAACACAATCTACAATCCAACAGTCCACAATATACAAACTTCTATACCACAATATGCAGTTTTATATGGCAGAATATCGTCTTCTAAACCATAACATATAATCTTCAACTCAATAACATAATCTTATACACCATAAAATAAAATCTTCTACACAATAACATAATCTTATACACCTTTAAATACAATCTTCTACACAATAACATAATTTTATACACCATAAAATAAAATCTTCTACACAATAACATAATCTTATACACCATAGCATACAATCTTCTACACAATAACATAATTTTATACACCATAAAATACAATCTTCTGCACAATAACATAATCTTATACACCATAAAATACAATCTTCTACACAATAACATAATCTTATACACCATAGCATACAATCTTCTACACAATAACATAATCTTATACACCATAGCATACAATCTTCTACACAATAACATAATCTTATACACCATAAAATATCGTCTACACAATAACATAATCTTATACACCATAAAATACAATCTACTACACAATAACATAATCTTATACACCATAAAATATCTTCTACACAATAACATAATCTTATACACCATAAAATACAATCTTCTACACAATAACATAATCTTATACACCATAAAATACAATCTTCTACACAATAACATAATCTTATACACCATAAAATACAATCTTCTACACAATAACATACACAATAACATAATCTTATACACCATAAAATACAATCTTCTACACAATAACATAATCTTATACACCATAAAATACAATCTTCTACACAATAACATAATCTTATACACCATAAAATATCTTCTACACAATAACATAATCTTATACACCATAAAATACAATCTTCTACACAATAACATAATCTTATACACCTTTAAATACAATCTTCTACACAATAACATAATCTTATACACCATAAAATACAATCTTCTACACAATAACATAATTCTTATACACACACCATAAAATATCTTCTACACAATAACATAATCTTATACACCATAAAATACAATCTTCTACACACAAAACATAACATAATCTTATACACCATAAAATACAATCTTCAACACAATAACATAATCTTATACACCATAAAATACAATCGCAATTCTGGGGGATACAGCTCAAGTTCAGAAGAGCCCGATCCGTGGATGTCCCATATTCCTTGGGTACAGCTGTAGAAAGAAATATAGTGGCAGATAATAGAAACAATTGAAAAGTACAGTGAAAGATTATAGAAACAACTAAAAAGTACAGTGGCAGATTGTAGAGACAATATAAAAGGTATTGCAGTAGATTACAGAAATAATGGAAAAGTACAACGGTAAATTATAGACACAATGGAAAAGATACAGTCGCAGATTATAGAAACAATGGAATAGATACAGTGGCAGATTATAGAAACAATTGAAAACTACAGTGGCAGATTTTAGAAACAATTGAAAAGTACAGTGGCAGATTATAGAAACAATCCTCCCCCCCCCCCCCCCTTTTTTTAGTCTAAATTACACAGATGAGTGCAAGAATTTTAAAATTATAAAGAGCCAAAATGTATATTATAATAAATTTTAAGTTTTTAAAAAGGTGCACATACAATGCTTATTCCCATACACTCAGAACAAAACAGATTAACAAACAAATGAATGAACTTCATTTTTTGAAAAAGTCATAAAGTGGGTATGCAGGCCCGTCTTACGTTCAGCTCTTCCAAACATTCATCTTTCACACAGCAATTGTCTGTGAGAATAAATGAGGTGGAGTAACAGACCACTCATACACTACCATGGCTTTTATTACAAATCTCATGTCTGGTTAGTTGCTGGATTGGTAAATCCTCTGAAACACAGTTTCAACTCAAATCCAGTCCACCACTTTTTAGGTTGTAAGAGTCATTCTTCCCCTCTACTTCTTAGCATTCACCAGCTGTGAAGCATCAGTGGAAAGTTTAGGTTGTTCATCCACTTCTGGACTTTGGTCCTGTTTCAGAATTTGAGTGTTGCATGCACATTCATTTCACAGATCTGGCTTACTTGTGTGCAGCCTGTTGGTTCCTTGCCTCTCAGGCAGATGCATTCCAAATTTGATGGAAACATCCGTAATTAGTTGCATTGTAGGACATGCTTCTAAGAGAGGCAGTGGGTTTACTCTTTTTTAGCCCTTAAAAATGGGGTGGTAGAACCCACACAGGAATGTAGGAATCATTAAAAAGCTTGCAAACATCAGAGTAAGGCTGGTGTAGAAATATTTCGACTGATGAGATTCAAAAGTACAGGCTCCATGGGAGCTGTGATCCACAGCTTCTTCCCCTCCCCACTCTCAGTAACTAGCGGAGTGTGCAAGACCGGTACTAAAACTTCACATCGTGAAAGAGTTCACTCATAACTTGCACTGCGTAAACTCTCACAGTAAAGTTATAAAAGTAAAATAAAGGGCCCCTTTTTCCGCCAGTGGTGCTTTTGGGCATATGATGCTAGAATCATCTTTTAATAAATCCAATGTCACGTGGTGGACAAAGTGGTCAACAAAATGCTAGCTGATTTGAATTGCCATGATTTTGCCTGGTCCCAGTTTGAGGCTGGGTGGACATGGAGGCCAGGGTCGATTTAAAAATAAAAAAATCAGCGACTTCTAACCCAAGACTTGTGGGCTGGCAGGCAAGCTTCCAGCCACTACACTACGTGGCTCCTAACTCTTGAAGCAGGTAGCAGTAGGTCCTGCATCAATGATTTCTATTCTGAATTATTAAAGTCTTGCCTGAAAAGTAAAAAAAAAATTCTATATCAAAAATAATAAACAATATGCAGAAGCAAGAAAACAATACTCAAGACAACTCACAGATGTCACTGTACATGGTGCCATAGGTCTCGAACTGCTCAAACTCTCTGTCAGCTGCAGCATCTCTAACATCTGGGGATAAGGTGCAATGGTGCAGATATGTACAGCAATGCTTCATTTGTTTATGTTTGTTTGAATGTCTATTTTTAACATCACTCAACACAGGGAACATGTTTCTTGTATTTACTACAATGTATAATTTTTTCACACACTCAGCATGTGCTGAATATTAGTCCAATTATCAGCATGCGTACCACAAATGACCAACAGTTATATTTATCCATCTACACCTATTTCCACTGTGCTCCCAATTTCTAGAATGTATGAATATACTTGCACACAGTTTCAGCTGAAATGACTGAGTGAGTGAATATTTCAGAAAATATCAGTATATGAGTGTTGACCAAAGAGATGCTAAATAATCCGAGGATGTGATCTTCCTCTCAATCACTGGGTCATGAATTAAATGCCTAGTCTTCACAGATTTAAGGAGAAAAATAGAAAGTCCCATGCACACTTCAAAAATTATACTGGCAGTGGTGTTTTCTATGGTAAACTCATGGGCCAGCCCATGGATCATGCAGACATTGTCAATGCCATTAGAGAGGTAGGTCGATCAGAGGATTTTGGGAGCAGCATATCCACATCTTTGCTAAGAGTGCAAGAATTGGGGGGTAAAAATAGGCACAGCCAGGCATGAGAAGCACGCCGGATGCATGAGAAGTCTAGTCAACCAACATAGAACTGGGACTTTCAACCGCAGGATGTGGATGTTTATGTCGAAGGGGGAATCTGAGCACCTATGGACATGTCCGGAGTGCTGTGAAGATAACCCAAATCATAACTCAAAATTGTGTGCTCTCTCCATAATGAAGGTTAGCTACAGCGTACACACACTGCTGTTCTGGGAAATTTTTTTAGCATTCCTAGGGTGACACTGTTAAACAAATCCCTGCCTGAGAAATGTGCAGATATGACCATTGGCCATATATATATATATCCATATATATATATAATTATATATATATATATATATATATATATATATATATATATATATATATATATATATATATATATCCATATATATACATTATATACATATATATATATATATATATATATATATATATATATATATATATATATCCATATATAATATATATATATATATATATATATACAAGATCTTCAATTCTTGTGTGATTCCAGTACTAACCTATGGATGCGAGAGCTGGAAATCAACGAAAACTCTAGACACAAAATTAGACAGTTTTGAAAATAAATGCCTTAGAAGAATACTAAATTTCAAATGGTCAGATTTCCGAACCAATACACAAATAAGGCAAGAATCCAGGCAAGAGTATGTGTCTAATTTTATACGAAAACGCCGCTGGAACTATGTCGGCCACGCCCTTAAAATGGATAAATCAAGACTTCCTTACCAAGCCCTCATTTGGACACCACAGGGGAAAAGATCTTGTGGAAGACCAAGGGAAACCCTACGAAGAACTATCATCAGGGAAGGCTCGCTCATGGGCCACTCAAACATCCAAGACCTACAACAGATTGCAACGAACCGCCATGCATGGAGAGTCATGACCTCTGCCCTATGTGCCGCACTCGACACAAGAGGAAAGACTAACTAACTAAATAATGTATATATATATATATATATATATATATATATTTTTATATAGTTTGTTTTAGTATCCAGAAGCCATAAGTTGTTAACCCTTAGGCTTGGTATTATAGATATCGCAACCTTTCGGCCTTGATTCCATTGTAAATACCGCAAATCTGGGAGAAATGTGGCTTTTCTGCCTACCAGGAGTTCGTCACCCGGTCACCGCGCAATCCGGTTTAGCCAACTATGCTAGAGAGCCGGTCATATATATATATATATATATATATATATATATATATATATATATATATATATATATATATATATATATATATATATATATATATATATATATATATCATCATCATCATCATCATTAGGTGCCTTGCAGACTGGTGTGGGCGATCATGCCTCTCCATAATCCACGATCTCCTGCAGCATGTATCTGTTCGTGTCACTTTATGTTCTATTATCCCTCTTTTCATAAAATGGCCAAAAAATGATGACTGTCTCCTTCTGATGTTTGTGATAAGTTGTCTTTGGGCTCCCGCCTCTTTCAAAACCTCTTGGTTGTTCTTTTTGGCTGTCCAAGGTATTCTAAGCATTCTTCTGTAAAACCACATATCTAAGGCCTCAAGAAATTGTTTGGCCTGCCTACTGATTGTCCAGGATTCACAGCAATATGTTAAAACTGGATGTATGTAGCAAGCAAGAATTCTTTTTCTAACTCTCAATGACAAGGATATATTGCACAAGATGTTTTATATAATATATATATATATATATATATATATATATATATATATATATATATATATATATTATAATATATATATATATATATATATATATATATATATATATATATATATATATAATATATATATATATATATATATATATATATATATATATATATATATATTATATATATATATATATTAATAAGATATTCTTCATATTATAAAATGTTTCTGTTTCTTATCTCAGTTATGCATCTTCCATCTGATGTTATCCATGTGCCCAGATACTTAAAATTTCTGTACTTGTCCTAAAATAACACCACCGATTTTTATTACACATTTAGGAATAATTTGTTTCTTTGATACCACCATTACTTCTGTCTTCCCATAATTCAAACTGAGGCCCATTCTTCCACTTTCTAACACCACAATGTCTATCATTTCATGTAGTTTTTTCTGACTTGTTGCTATCAAGACTGTGTCATCAGCATAACGTAAATTGTTTATATTGTGCCCATCAACCACAATTCCCGGCATATCAATTAAAGATCTAATATATATTCACTGTATATTGAAAACAAATCGGTTGATAGTACACATCCTTGTCGTACGCCCCTCTTTATGCTCTGAAATGTACCTAAACAGTTGTTAATATATATATAGGCCTACACTGTGCAAGTTGCAATATATCGTCATACCTTGAGGTCGGTGGAGGAACGCTGGCAGTGTTGACTCACTCCAGCCGAAATCATTGACTGCTCGAACTCGAAAAGCATAGTCAATGTAGGGGTTCAGACCCTTGATCTCAGTACTCAAACCTTTGATACCGGTCGCCTTCTCTACCCACTCAAAGGAGTCCTCATTGCGAACCTGCAGACCAAACACACCCATATTGTGAACCTCTTCTGCAGTTATCATTCGAAAGCATATATTTTGTTATATTATTTACAGTAAAACCATATAATATTTGAGTTTGAAGTTTGAAGTTTATACAAAGGGCTCCGTAGCACCGGCGAAGATCCTGAAATACTTTTGGGTAGATTTTAACTCCAAATATTACCTGGGTAGTGCTGTTAGGCTATTCTTTTCGATTTCCAACTGCCAAGAGATTTTTTTTTTACATGCACAACAATGCACACAGGTGTCCGATCTCACTACCCAGAGACCAGGGGGAATTACTTGAAGTTCACGTGAAAAAACCCAAGCCCTCACCGGGGCCTGAACCCAGGACCTCTAGTACACAAGGCGCACACCATACTTCGAGACCATGCAGCCACCCCCCCCCCCTCCCCCATATTTTTTAAGTAAAACCACTAACACGAATTTGCTTAAGATGAATGTTCAGTTAACATGAACAACATTTTGGTCACATCAGGAATGTATTATTATTATTAGTCCCCAGTTAAAATGCATTTTTTAAACACATACTCTTGAATTTTTTGTCTTCTGGAATTTGTGTGTGTTAATGAGCTTTTAATGTATTTGTAAGCAGCTCTGAACAGATACCCAGGTGCTCTTTTCTCATATTCCAGATGGGGCTGTTACACTAACAAATGCTGATCCAGCTGTTACCTTAGCTCCTTCTCCTTCACAGTGTGAGCTGATCTTAGTAGACACACTCACCACCACCACAACGACCACCACCAGCACCATCATCATCATCATCCCATAAAATTGCATAACGTTGGGTCACCAGTTTTTGTTGACTGTCTGATCAGCTCTCTCCACCTTTGACGGTCAGTTGCGATGGACTTCATGGTTGCATGCCTGAAGCCTGTCCAGTCAGTCAGGTTCTGTAACTAGGTATTTCTTGCTAAATATAACACAAAATATGACTAGAAAGCTCAACGGAAGGAATAGAAAGACGCAGACGAACACAACCAAACGTTTCGAACAAAGTCTTTATAAATGGAATACTAAATACAGCACAAACTGTGACTAGAAAACTCAAAGGGCAAGACAATGGGGCTATTAAAATCCAAAGTCAACATGAAACCAAGAAGTATGTAATATGGCGAAAAGTATAAATATGCGGGTTATAATACAAAACCAAATAAATAAATAAGAAGGTGATGTGAAAAGAGGGGAAGAAATAAGAATAAGTTAAATAAATGAACAAGTAAATAAATTAAATAAAGCTGTGTTGAATATTGATCTCTTCAGGACTAAGATGCCAAAACTATGGATGAAATGATTTAGCGGCTGGTTTGATCCCCAGAGCATGATTTAATAGCAGTGACTGAGATATCGTTTTCCAGAGCAGGATTTAACTGAATTGCTCTGCTCATCTTTAAAAACCTTTTTAATTAATGTAAGAAGTAAGTTAGTTTTTTTTTTAATTAAAAAAAAAAAAAGAAGAAGAAGAAGAAGAAAGATGGCATAAGCTACAAGACGGTGACGAGATTCTGAAGATATTATGATCATTGCACTGACCTCCACCCTGTACGTTGTTGGAGACAAACTGGATGTGGCCGACGGTACCCGGGCAGCCTTCCACGTCAAGTGTACACATTCTGGGTTGACCACAATCATGTCTGGTTTCTCAATGGACATGCGAGGTGGGACTGTGGGGTCAACAACAGTGAGAGGATGAAGTATGCAAGCAGATAAACCATTCAACCAGGTACCATATCCAGTACCAGATAAACCATTCAACCAGGTACCATATCCAGTACCAGATAAACCATTCGACCAGGTACCATATCCAGTACCAGATAAACCATTCAACCAGGTACCATATCCAGTACCAGATAAACCATTCAACCAGGTACCATATCCAGTACCAGATAAACTATTCGACCAGGTACCATATCCAGTCCCAGATAAACCATTCAACCAGGTACTATATCCAGTACCAGATAAACCATTCAACCAGGTACCATATCCAGTACCAGATAAACCATTCGACCAGGTACCATATTCAGTACCAGATAAACCATTCAACCAGGTACCATATCCAGTACCAGATAAACCATTCAACCAGGTACCATATACAGTACCAGATAAACCATTCAACCAGGTACCATATTCAGTACCAGATAAACCATTCAACCATGTACCATATCCAGTACCAGATAAACCATTCAACCAGGTACCATATACAGTACCAGATAAACCATTCGACCAGGTACCATATCCAGTACCAGATAAACCATTCAACCAGGTACCATATCCAGTACCAGATAAACCATTCAACCAGGTACCATATACAGTACCAGATAAACCATTCAACCAGGTACCATATTCAGTACCAGATAAACCATTCAACCAGGTACCATATCCAGTACCAGATAAACCATTCGACCAGGTACCATATTCAGTACCAGATAAACCATTCAACCAGGTACCATATCCAGTACCAGATAAACCATTCAACCAGGTACCATATACAGTACCAGATAAACCATTCAACCAGGTACCATATTCAGTACCAGATAAACCATTCAACCAGGTACCATATCCAGTACCAGATAAACCATTCAACCAGGTACCACATACAGTACCAGATAAACCATTCAACCAGGTACCATATCCAGTACCAGATAAACCATTCAACCAGGTACCACATACAGTACCAGATAAACCATTCAACCAGGTACCATATTCAGTACCAGATAAACCATTCGACCAGGTACCTTATTCAATACCAGATAAACCATTCAGCCAGGTACCATATCCAGTACCAGATAAACCATTCAGCCAGGTACCATATCCAGTACCAGATAAACCATTCAACCAGGTACCATATCCAGTACCAGATAAACCATTCGACCAGGTACCATATACAGTACCAGATAAACTATTCGACCAGGTACCATATCCAGTACCAGATAAACCATTCAACCAGGTACCATATCCAGTACCAGATAAACTATTCGACCAGGTACCATATTCAGTACTAGATAAACCATTCAACCAGGTACCATATACAGTACCAGATAAACTATTCGACCAGGTACCATATCCAGTACCAGATAAACCATTCAACCAGGTACCATATCCAGTACCAGATAAACCATTCCACCAGGTACCATATCCAGTACCAGATAAACCATTCGACCAGGTACCATATCCAGTACCAGATAAACCATTCCACCAGGTACCATATCCAGTACCAGATAAACCATTCGACCAGGTACCATATCCAGTACCAGATAAACCATTCGACCAGGTACCATATCCAGTACCAGATAAACCATTCGACCAGGTACCATATACAGTACCAGATAAACTATTCGACCAGGTACCATATCCAGTACCAGATAAACCATTCGACCAGGTACCATATACAGTACCAGATAAACTATTCGACCAGGTACCATATACAGTACCAGATAAACCATTCGACCAGGTACCATATTCAGTACCAGATAAACCATTCAACCAGGTACCATATCCAGTACCAGATAAACCATTCAACCAGGTACCATATCCAGTACCAGATAAACCATTCGACCAGGTACCATATCCAGTACCAGATAAACCATTCAACCAGGTACCATATTCAGTACTAGATAAACCATTCAACCAGGTACCATATACAGTACCAGATAAACTATTCGACCAGGTACCATATACAGTACCAGATAAACCATTCAACCAGGTACCATATCCAGTACCAGATAAACCATTCAACCAGGTACCATATCCAGTACCAGATAAACCATTCAACCAGGTACCATATCCAGTACCAGATAAACCATTCAACCAGGTACCATATCCAGTACCAAATAAACCATTCAACCAGGTACCATATCCAGTACCAGATAAACCATTCGACCAGGTACCATATTCAGTACTAGATAAACCATTCAACCAGGTACCATATCCAGTACCAGATAAACCATTCAACCAGGTACCATATCCAGTACCAGATAAACCATTTGACCAGGTACCATATACAGTACTAGATAAACCATTCAACCAGGTACCATATACAGTACCAGATAAACCATTCAACCAGGTACCATATACAGTACTAGATAAACCATTCAACCAGGTACCATATACAGTACCAGATAAACCATTCAACCAGGTACCATATACAGTACCAGATAAACCATTCAACCAGGTACCATATACAGTACCAGATAAACCATTCAACCAGGTACCATATACAGTACCAGATAAACCATTCGACCAGGTACCATATCCAGTACCAGATAAACCATTCGACCAGGTACCATATCCAGTACCAGATAAACCATTCGACCAGGTACCATATCTAGTACCAGATAAACCATTCAACCAGGTACCATATTCAGTACTAGATAAACCATTCAACCAGGTACCATATCCAGTACCAGATAAACCATTCAACCAGGTACCATATCTAGTACCAGATAAACCATTCAACCAGGTACCGTATCTAGTACCAGATAAACCATTCAACCAGGTACCATATCCAGTACCAGATAAACCATTCAACCAGGTACCATATTCAGTACCAGATAAACCATTCAACCAGGTACCATATTCAGTACCAGATAAACCATTCGACCAGGTACCATATCCAGTACCAGATAAACCATTTGATGTTTCTAACAGTAAAAGATCAGAGAGTTTCTTATCAACAACAAGAGACAGTATTCTGCTGTGTGCTAGCTGTGTTTAGTTAACTCTTCCCCATTTGTCTTACATTTATCATTTGTTCATCCCAGTGGTTCCAATTATTAGCTAAGACCTGCTGACCCTTCAAGTTCCAGAACAAGATTAGGTCCATAAGTCGACAAACAACTACAATTTTCCACCAGATTTTACATTAGGCGAATGCTAAGAATCCCTGTCTGGGTTCCAGGGTCCCGTTGTGGAAAAAAACAAGGACTGACCCACTGCCTACACGAAAGCATGTCGTAAAAGTAAAAACTAACTGGGAGCTTCCTTTGAAGTCAGAGTGCATCTGCTTGAGAGGAAAGGAGCCAACAGTCTGCAGACAAATGTATCAGATCTGTAAAATGGATGTGCACACAACACTCATGTTCTGGAACAGGACTAGTGTACAGAAGTGGGCATACAACCACCAGAACTTTGTGACAGAGTTTAAAGTTTTGAATGCAAAGAAAAAGAAGAATGCTAAGAAACTGACCTTTCTTATTTCTGAAGATCAGACCTTCTACTTTTTAGACAGTTATACTGCGGAACTTATTATAATTTGTAAACAGTAGAATCACAAAAAAGGATTGCATTCTGCAGCTGAGTTTTTGTGTGTGCGTGTGTGTAAACATTATCACTGCCTTCTTAATTTTTTTCCACAGATCCTATATTCGGACTACCAAATGGAAAACACCTGTAGACAATATAAAAAGCTGTCTTCTACCCACCTTTGAGGATGAGTCCTTCAATGTATGGTCTTGCGATCGGAGCATATTCATCCACAAAAGAAGTAATGGGAGGAAGAATTCTGTCGCCTCTGTCCCATGTAGAAGCTGAAGGTTGCACAAACAATTTAATTACAGGGTTTTCCCACACAGAAAAATGTAAGAATTGTCAAACTTTCATATACTTGGTTTCTACCATGATTGTGATGAGGAAACAACATTGCTGCACTCAGGACAAGCCAATAAGTGCTTTGTCTCCTCCTTAGAACTTAAAGAATACAAACTAGTGCAATGATTGACTATATACTGCAGCCAGTGTTGCCTGTTTGCACCATGGATAAGACATCCAAGTCTGGATACTTAACAAAAATTGAAATATGGATTTTTCCCTCAGCAGTGACAAGAAATAAAAATATACTGATGTGCTGGTCTGATCTAAGCAACACTGAAATATTTTTACAATAAATAATAATGTTAGCAAAATCAATTTATCTACATCAACTTATTTACAACACTAACTTAGTGTGACATCAACTGTTTTAAAATTTAAACTTCAATATTAACTTATCTACAAGATCAACTATTTACAAAATCAACTTATTTACATACAATTCTTTGCAACATTAACTTATCTACAACATCAACTTATTTACAATATTAATTTATCTATATCAACTTCACAGATTGTTACTTGTGCCCTCGGAATCATAACTTTGCTCTTGCTGCTGAAGATGGGGATGCAGCACAAATGCTGATCCAGCTGTTACCTTAGCTCCTTCTCCTTCACAGTGTGAGCTGATCTTAGTAGACACACTCACCACCACCACAACGACCACCACCACCACCATGAGAATGTATCAAATGAAGTGATATCAAATCTTAGTTCAACATTCATACCAACTTTACTGAAATGTCAGCCATCAGAGAGGAGAGGAGTGTCATAATTGTCAATGTCTGCTCTAGATCTGCAGTTGAAAAACAAAAGGCATGCAAAAATTTTAAAAAATTCAAAAAAAACACAGACTCACAAGGAGCCCTATAAAAGGGTACAGGAGGTGTAGGTGCACTGTACTCCCCTCCTGGTATCCTGGCCTTGACCCTGAACAGGTAATCTTTCAAAGGACTCAGTTCTGGAACAGTGTAGCTGGTCCCATAGAAGTCTCTGGCAATGGGGTACCAGTCAGTCCTTGGAGGTTCTTGCACCTGTGAGTGAGTGAACGAATAAGTGAATGAATGAATGAACGAATGAATGAATCAATCAATCAATAATTTAATCAAGAATTAACATTACTACATTATAATGAGGCTGGTTAAAGAGCATAGCAGACATCAGAGCACAATTTATAGGCGAAAGATAGGAATCATGTAGGCAAATATAGTATGAATGAATAAGAATGTTCCTATATGAGAAGTCGGGAGATGCAAGAAAATTGAAGTTCAGGTGAAAGGGTGAACTTTCCTAACTCCTCATGTGAGAATACTAACCTCAATTGTGTATGCAAGGTTTGCACTGGCATTATATGGAGGCATGTAGACAGGATTCCAGCGAAGTCTGGCAGAGTATGGCTGGTTGCTGTCTGATTCAATCCTCACATTTGTGATTGGTACTCCTGACCTTACTGAACAAAAAAGAAAAAAGGCTCATGTTCAAACATACGAGCAGTTAGTTGTGACTACGAAACTTTCTTTCCCACACACATTTCTCTTCTTTTTCTTCTTTTTCTTATTCTTTCTCTTCTTCTTCTTCTTAACGTTCACCAGCTGTAAACTCCAGTGGAAAGTTTTGGTGGTTTGTCCACGTCCAATCTTTGGCCTTGTTTCAGATCTTGAGTTTTGTGTGCACATTTGTTTTACAGATCTGGCTTATTTTTATGCTGAGTGCTGGTTCCATGCCTCTCAGGCAGAGGAAACAATGAGTGCTGATTCCCTGCCTCTCCGGCAGAGGAAACAATGAGTGCTGATTCCCTGCCTCTCCGGCAGAGGAAACAATGAGTGCTGATTCCATGCCTCTCAGGCAGAGGAAACAATGAGTGCTGATTCCCTGCCTCTCCGGCAGAGGAAACAATGAGTGCTGATTCCATGCCTCTCAGGCAAAGGAAACAAATGAAACACTCCTAATTTACCTTTGACAATATGCCTGTTGAGTTGGGTTTGGTTGGGGAAGGGGGTGTATATTCTTACTATTCTCCCCAAAATCGAGTCCGAAAAACCCACATAGAGACCTACTCTTCAAGGTGCATATTTTAGTGAAACAGTATTTGAGTCTTTATGAGTTAAAATCACAAGCTATGAGACAGAAAAAAAAAAAAAAAACATTGAAGGGTTGAATTAGTAATTTTTTTTTTTTTCCCCAGGGTTATTTCACATTCTTATTCTGTGGATTCCAGTGTAAAGACAAACTAGTTATATTTTTCTCAGGTTTTCTCAAAATCTTGTTTCTCCACACAACATACCCACAAATCAAAATAACCTGCTACAAATGTCACTACTCAATGCACAATTTTTATAAGATTCTTGAAAGAGTGCCTTATGAATTATTCTACCCTTATATAGAATTCCCTGCAATTTCTGCAGACATTACATTTTGGCAGCTATAAGATTTGTCTAAGCTTGCCTGCACTTTGTCTAGATCTTGTATACATACAACAGTGTGAGCTTAATTCAGCAATATAGCACTTTGACACCTTTTCTTACCACAACTGACATGTTTAAAAAAAATTATGTTTTCCCTATGACGTACTATAAAACTGCATAAATTGATTAATATAAGGAGTAGAAGCAGCAGTAGTAGTCTGAACAAAACAATCATAATCAGTTCAACCGGATGATATCTGGTTATGATATGGATATTTAATGTTGACCAGATTTTCAATGAATACTTTTGCATTTATCGTATAATTGATTTACATGTTATTTATACAGTTATTATTTTGAATATTACCCTGTTCATACCTCTCAATTTATGATTAGAAAGGATAGTATATATTTAGTTACAGTTATATATATATATATATATATATATATATATATATATATATATATATATATATATATATATATATATATATATATATATATATATATATATATATATATATATATATTTAATCTTGTCATCCCTTTGTGGGATACAATTTTTAGTTATTTTGAAGCCCTACCCTGGCTTTTGCCACGGGCCCTAAATATAGCCGGGCCTGAAATATGGCCTACTGGCTGAATGGGGTTTCCATGACCTCTCCACTGGTGATTCTCATCCTGCATGGTGGCACTTTATGTCACCGGGTGTTTATCGCTTGTGTGATGTCCTGGTGGGGTACAACTTGCATACATACATACATTTTTTTTTAGATGCCGACTCCCAATACAGGTTGCCTATAATGCTTTCACTGCTAATTATAGGAAAATTCCGTGGCAAGGTCCAATTCTCTTTCACACCAGGACTCTCACACCCTGGTCCGAAAGCCCAGGGAATGGTATTTTTTCCAAACCACCCACCATGGGAATAACACCCTGGTAAACTTCAAGGATTACATTATGAAAAGATGTCATTAACCTTTAAGCCACAGACCTCCCCTAATTATATTAGAGAGCTGTTTATCACAGTCATTAAAGGTTTCTACCTCAGATTTGTTTCCCCTCATGGAGCTGCTCATCCTTGCCCAATGACATGTCACAGTGGCTGTTAGTACTTTAGGGCTCTCTAAAAACTTGAAAAAAGTAGATGACCCTTTTGCAAACCTTGAAGGGTACTGCCCACTGCTTAACAAGCCAGTCACTATTTGAGGGGTTGTGTAGTCAATTACTGCACACACACACACACATTTTTCTTATGGGGATTCAAACCTATTACCACCATGCCAACAGGTAAGCATATGACCATGGCTCCCAACATAATCATTTCTGCTAATTAGTTAACTAACCTATAATCACCATCAGACACTTCCATGAGTGCTTGGATCTCATCTTCAATATCTACCTCAATGTGTGGTAGCTGATAACACCAGTTCTGTGTTGGTTTACTATTCTTCCTTGACTACTTGGATAGTGCTCATGTCTGGCAACATAGTGCTCATGACTGGCAACACCTCTTTGGACAAGAAGTTCTTGTAGTCTAGTCAAAGTTGCTGATTCAGCCTCAGCTCCTGAATCACCTATTTACCCTGCCTCCTTGAGAGCACCAGTCCAGTCCATTGCGTCTTCTGTGCCTATCCTCATTCTGCGAGCAAGCCGAACAGCTTGTTTTGTTTTTTTCCCTTCTCTTACTTCAGAGTTTCCTGGCACAAAACTGAAACTGATTACTGCCAGATGAGATTTCCACAGAGGCTCCAACCATTGTCTTTGAACCCACCTTGCTTGCTAATCTCTACTAACTATCTGCTACCAGAAAACCCAAAAAGTTTTTTGTATATTTTTTTTTTCAATCAAAAAAAAAAAAAAAAGTTAAGGAACAATATCATGCCAGTGGAAAATCTGGCATATGATACTACTCATAGCTGTACAGACCAATCAGCGCTCAACAGGTTATGTGGTCAACATCCTGCTGTGCACCTTTACTTCCCAGAAATTTAACGGGTATCCATTTTAGGCTAGGCTGACCTGGTAGCTAAAGCAATTTTATTTTTGCCTAAATTTTGATGTAGATTCAAACCCAAGGCCTTTTACCCAAAAAGCAAGTATCTAGTCACTAGGCCACTAAGGCTCAGAAAAAGACCTGGCTAATCATAAATCTGAATTGTCAAACAGTGAATGACCTTTACAGCAGAAGGTAAACTGACCTGGAGTTCTGTAGACTGGCACAGTCACTGACGGCTGAGTTAGTCCTAAAGCTGTCTCTCCTCGGAGTCTGAACTGGTAGTCATGTCTGGGCTCCAATCCAGTTACCTGCCCACATGAAACCAACAACATGTGTGGTATTATGACAGTGTATGAAGTGTTCATATATGAAAGAACAGAATCAATGGCTAGTGTATGAAGTGTTCATATATGAAAGAACAGAATCAATGGCCTGTGTATGAAACATTCATATATGAAAAGATAACACTAGGTCCTTATATGAATGATCAAATATTAAAGAACAATAAAAGTATATCAGCATAGGAAATTATCATCACTGATTGTTCTCTTTCCTCTTCTTAAAGTCTATGCCATGTGGCAGTGGTAGTCATGTCTATCCACAACCTTCTGTCTTGTGCACTTTCAATCAACTCTGATACAGATGATCCTCCCTGCCATGATGTCAAACTGTCCGGTATCCTTTCTCTCTATCTCCTTCTGCCCTTCTTCCCCTACAACTTTCCCACTGCCATGATGTATTCCAGTCTTCTCCTTCTCATCATACGAACAAAGAATGTATATTGTCACTGACTGTGTAAGAAGAAAATGAGAAATATCACAATTACCAACCTTGTGTGAGGAGCCAGTTACCCCACGAGCCACTGGTCTCCAGTCATAGTCAGGCACTCTCTGGGCCTCTATCATGAAGGACAAGGGCGACTCATCCATGTCAAATGCTGGGATGTCCACCAGCTTCCACCGCAAGTTAATATAGTCATCTCCCATGTCGGAAATTTCTGGTGAAGGCAAGGGGACCCTTGGTGTTGCTGCAGTGAAAGCAGAAAGTATTTGTGGTTAATTCACAACCTATAACTTTTCCATGGTCGAGAATGCTTTTGTTAGCATATCCCCAAATTTAATAAAAAGAGGTTCATCATTTGCCTGAGAAATCCCAATGAAACTAGTCTAGCATCTCTCTTGCTCTCTCTTACATGAACATAACATGCTTTATTTAGGAAATACAAATGCTATGTGAGAGATGGGAGTTTGGAAGGGCCAAATGTCAGACAGGCCTGCATGCCTAATTTGTAACCCTTTGAAAATAAAGTTTGTTCGTTCGTTTATTCACTCTCTCTCTCTCTTTTTTTTCTCTCTTTCTCTCTTTCTCTCTCTCTCTCTCTCTCTCTCTGCGTGCATGTGTATGTGTGCAGGTGCATGTTTTTGTGACTACTAGGCTCAAATGGATTCTTTTTCTTCTTCAGCATTTTGAGCCCTTGAGGTTCATTGCTGCAGATATCACCCACCTCCATTCATCTCTCTCTGGTCTGGATTATTATTAGTATGTGTAAATACCAGATCATGAATATTAGCATATTAAGTGTGCCCATGTAAATAAAGGACAACAAAAACAATTTGGCCTACGATCTCTATTTTCTATATCTCTTTATCTCTCTTTCTCTCTCTCTCTCTGTATGTGTTTGTGTGTCTCTCTGCATGTGGATGCATGCATGCACACATTTTTGTGTTACTAGGCAAAAATTAAATCTAGATTATCAGTATGTGTAAATACCAGATAATGATGTGTGCCCATATAAGGACAACAAATAGTGTTGGCCTATCATCTCTTTCTCTCTCTTTCTCTATGTTTGTGTGTGTGTGTGCATGCATGTGTGAGTGTGTATGCATGTGTGTACATTCTTTGGATCTTTTCTCCAAAAAATCATGGTGGACTGGAAAATGAAAAAGCAAACAGAATGGCTGGTTTTGCACACTTGGGTAGTAAACTGATGCATGACAAGGCAGCTGTGGTAATTGCCAGTCGGAAGTATGTGAACAGTCTAGAGGAGCGAACAGTCTAGAGGAGTGAACAGTCTAGAGGAGTGAACAGTCTAGAGGAGTGAACAGTCTAGAGGAGTGAACAGTCTAGAGGAGTGAACAGTCTAGAGGAGTGAACAGTCTAGAGGAGAGAACAGTCTAGAGGAGTGAACAGTCTAGAGGAGCGAACAGTCTAGAGGAGCGAACAGTCTAGAGGAGCGAACAGTCTAGAGGAGCGAACAGTCTAGAGGAGCGAACAGTCTAGAGGAGTGAACAGTCTAGAGGAGTGAACAGTCTAGAGGAGTGAACAGTCTAGAGGAGTGAACAGTCTAGAGGAGTGAACAGTCTAGAGGAGCGAACAGTCTAGAGGAGCGAACAGTCTAGAGGAGCGAACAGTCTAGAGGAGCGAACAGTCTAGAGGAGCGAACAGTCTAGAGGAGCGAACAGTCTAGAGGAGCGAACAGTCTAGAGGAGCGAACAGTCTAGAGGAGCGAAACAGTCTAGAGGAGCGAACAGTCTAGAGGAGCGAACAGTCTAGAGGAGCGAACAGTCTAGAGGAGCGAACAGTCTAGAGGAGCGAACAGTCTAGAGGAGCGAACAGTCTAGAGGAGTGAACAGTCTAGAGGAGCGAACAGTCTAGAGGAGCGAACAGTCTAGAGGAGTGAACAGTCTAGAGGAGTGAACAGTCTAGAGGAGTGAACAGTCTAGAGAAGCGAACAGTCTAGAGGAGCGAACAGTCTAGAGGAGCGAACAGTCTAGAGGAGCGAACAGATCGTCATCATCCTGTTGTGTTATTATATGTCACAGAGGGGCTTGCAGTCTTTTCCTTCCTTCTGTTCTATCCTGCACAATCCTCTCAATATCATGGATGGAATCCAGCCCAGCCCCTCCACCCCCCACCCCCCCCCCCCCCCCCCCCCCCCTTACCCCCCGGCCTCTCTCAACAACATTCATCTCAGGGTTTCTCTTGGAGGTCCTCTTTTCGTCAAAACATTTGTTTTCCGTCTCTGTGCCTGTTTGGTGATTATCTGTCTATTTCCCCTCATGATATGCCCAGTGAAATAATGTAATCTTTTTAGCATTATAACTGATGATTTTAGTGGTTGTCCTGACATATATCCTATTTCTTCACCTGTCTTGAACTACCCCATCTCTTCTTCTTATTCTTCTTCTTCTACTTCTTAGTTTTCACTGGCTGTAAACCCCAGCAGAAAGTTATGGTTGTTTGTTCTCTCTTCGACTTTGGTCTTGATCCAGAACTGAGTTTTGTGTGCTCATTCGTTCTGTAGATCTGGTTTATTTGTATGCAGACTATTGGTTCCTTATCTCACAGGCAGATGCACTCTGACTTTGAAGACAACACACCTGATTTGTTATCTTAGGCATGCTTGTTTTCCAAAATGGAGCTGTGAAACCCACTTGGGGGATAAATTCATCCAACTTAAAGTTCATCAATTTCCTCAGGCATTTGTTTCTGAACCCAAGTGAACAAATTATTATAGTTCAAAACATAAATATACAAATGGGCTGTAACCAGAGGATCTGGTAGACAATTTAATGTTCAAAGGAAAAGCAACAACAGCATAAATCAGACTGGCATCAATACCACTGTAACCTGCAAGGTTGCTGAAGATATGGTTAACTGTTTATGGGAATACCTAGAGCGCTGTGATATCAGTTCTTAACCATTAACTCTAGTGCAATATATTATTTATGTTCTTTATTATGTAAGTTGTGTGTTTGTTAGAATCTTATACATCTAAACAACAAACCTAATGACAGTTGAGGGGGAGGGGGGGGGGTAGAGAAAGAAAAGAGAGAGAGAGAGAGAGAGAGAGAGAGAGAGAGAGAAATAAGAATGAACGCTCACCAGACTGGCGGTACATAAATGCTGGCAAGGATGGTTCAGACATTCCGGTGTCAGAAACGGCTCGTACCCGGAAGGCATAATCCTGGTTTGGTTTAAGGTCAGTAACCTCGTAGCTCCAGGCATCAGTGCGGGGCACCAGAGTATGCCAGTTTGTGTCAGGAGGCTCTCGCACCTGGCAACAATTGATATTTTATCAATTCACTATCATTAATGGCAAGTATATTAAAATTAATACTGAATGTTTTATTGCTGACTTCCGCAAGTAAATGTTTGGCCAATGTCTGTCTATGTTTCACATGCATGTAACAATACAGCTTCTACATAACATGATAACACTCTTTTTCTCACTGAAGTAATATCCATGCGCGCTGATTTCTGAGGAGAAAAACTGAGCATTTAAAGGCATATCCTAAGTCTATGGTGTTATTTCTACTGATCAACAATTCTGAAACTAATGTCAACAAATGAAACGATATCTGACTTTTTACAGACTGTAATGGAATCAGGGAACTAGGCTTAGTCACTGCCAACATAAAGACATTCTGAGACCTTGGGTCAATCATGGCCACATTTAATTAAGACATGATCAGAGCTAGTGTAAATCATGGCCACATATAAGATATGATCAGATCTTGGGTCAGTCATGACCACACATAGGATATGATCAGATCTAGGGTCAGTCATGGCCACATATAAGATATGATCATATCTAGGGTCATTCATGGCCACACATAAGATATGATCAGTTCTATTGTCAGGCACGGCTACCATATAAGATATGATCAGTTCTAGGGTCAATCAGGGTTAACATACATGTTATGATTAGTTCTAGGGTCAGGCATGGCTTTCATATAAAATGTGATCAGATCTAGGGTCAGTCAGGGTAAACATATAAAACAATATGACACATTATTAGACAGTCTGACAGAACTGACCTCAAGCCTGTAATACTGGGGCAGTGGTTTCCGTGACGAGCCATGATAAAACGTTGGGTGCCAGTTGACTCGGACAGAATCATCATAGACCTCTGACAAGGTAGGTCGTTCAACAGGAACTGTAGGGAGTGCTGAAATTACAGAAAATGCTCAAATTATATCACTATCTGTAATGGAACTTTTCACAACCAAACTAATATATCAGTAAACAAATTTGACATTCTTACATTTGCCAAATATACATTTTTCACACTTATCTTGAATTGTTTGACAGCCAAGATACTACCAAGAGGTTATACTGATGATAAATTCCTTCAGTCATATCTGAATAGGAGGTGAGGTGTCCTATGAGCAGGGAAACATCCAGCAGTTCATTCTGGCTGTTTTTTGTTTTTTTTAGTTTTCTTCTCCTCTGCTTCTGGAAGTTGTCCACTTTCACTGGGCTCAAAATGATACTCCTCATTGCATCTCAATATATCATGGTCCTACCATCATGGCCCCACAGTTCATGGTCCCACATGTCATGGTCCCACACATTATGATCTCACATGTCATGGTACCAAACATTATGATCCCACATGTCATGGTACCACACATTATGATTCCACATGTCATGGTACCACACATTATGATCCCACATGTCATGGTACCACACATTATGATCCCACATGTCATGGTACCACACATTATGGTCCCACATGTCATGGTACCATACATTATGATCCCACATGTCATGGTACCACACATTATGGTCCCACATGTCATGGTACCATACATTATGATCCCACATGCCATGGTACCACACATTATGATCCCACATGTCATGGTACCACACATTATGATCCCACCTGTCATGGTACCACACATTATGATACCACATGTCATGGTACCACACATTATGATCCCACATGTCATGGTACCACACATTATGATCCCACATGTCATGTACCACACAATTTGATCCCACATGTCATGGTACTACACATTATGGTCCCACATGTCATGGTCCCACACATTATGGTCCCACATGTCATGGTCCCACATGTCATGGTCAAACATGTCATGGTCTCTCATGTCATAGTCCTGCATGTCATGATCCCATATGTCATGGTCCCACATGTCATGATACCACATGTCATGGTCCCACATGTCATGGTACCACATGTCATGGTCCTAAGTTTCATGGTACCACATGTCATTGTCCCACATGTCATAGTTTCAATTGTCATGGTACCACACATCATTGTACCACATATTGTGGTCTCACATGTTGCAGTCACAAAGTCTGTTTTCCGGGTTCTGATGTTTATCACAAATATTGATATGACACATATTTGTTTAATTATAGATGTCAACAGTAAACAACAGATCCCTCTTTTTATTAGCTGTATTGGATCTACCTCATTTGCGTACTTTTTTCTTCTTCTACTGCATTCATCTGAGGATGTAACCTCAATGTGCCTATTTGTCAGCATAGCTGTGATATTTGCACTTTTTGAATAACACGTCTAATTTCTTCAGGCCTTTGTTGCCCTGGTTAGCCTTCCGGAATTCACTTACTATTTGCCACCCAATGAAGTGATGTTGGTTAAAGGGTTTTTTTGGAGGGGTGGGGGAGGGGGGGGGGGGGTGTGCTCATTTCTTAAGCTGAGTCTTCCTAGGAACTTTGCTCAGTTTAGACAAATCTGCCTGGATGGACATTTAATGGCATGGCCGCCAGGACAGACAGCAGGCAAGTGTACCAGTCACTGCATTACCACAGCTACATAGAGAATTGTAAAGGACATATTGTTAGCCATTTGGGAGTTCAGGGCTAGGCATATATTTTTAGACTAATCCCCACTCAGTGGGTGATGTGGTCAACATTACACCTGCCGCCTTTACTTCCTAGGAGTTTACCTGGCACCCATTTAAGGCTGAGAGCCAAGGTCGTGGCTGAAAAGAATCCGGCTGCCTAAATTATTGTACTCAGCATTTTAAAATGCAGGTTTCATTTGCCAGTGATGATGTAAGTGGGAGTCAATGTAGCTGATGAATGATAAAATTTATTACTCTGATTTCTGCATCACAAACCTAGCCATGACTGGGATTGATCTGCTTTCATGGAGAGGGAATACAGGACTATTCAAGTGCCAGTGTTATAACTTTGGACAGTTAGAGTGCAGACAATATTGTTTGTGAAGTTCTTATGTCAAACATATGATATACAAAGTTCCAATGTTAAAAATATAATATATAAAGTGCCAATGTTAAACACAACGTGTTAAAAGTGCCAGTTTAAACATAAGACATGTAAAGTGCCAAAGTTAAACATAAGACACATGAAGTGCCAGTTTAAACATAAGACATGTAAAGTGCCAAAGTTAAACATAAGACACATGAAGTGCCAGTTTAAACATAAGACATGTAAAGTGCCAAAGTTAAACATAAGACACATGAAGTGCCAGTTTAAACATAAGACACGTAAACTGCCACAGTTAAGCATAAGATACATAAAGTGCCAATTTAAACATAAGGCATATGAAGTGTCAATGTTGCAAATATATTTAAAGTGCCAATATTAGACATGGAACATATGAAATGCTGAGGTTAAGCATGCATTTTTAAGACATTTACAAATAAAGTAACATCAAAAATATAAAGTGCTGAAGTTAAACACAATACTCACAGTTCAGACAGACACAAGACATGTAAAGCGCCGAAGTTAAACACATATTTCATGTGATGTTAAACACACAACATAATATTCACAATAAATATACAAATTAAATATTCAAAACACATACAAACATAATAATTTTTCTAAGAAGAATGAAACAGTTTTAAAATGAAAGGCAATCATTGGCACTTTTGGGTCTTTCCAGATGACAATGTTCTACTGTGTTACAGGAAGGCATGAGAATCACGGCAAATGGCAATGGCGAGTGTGACTAGCAGTCGGTTCATTTTGTGAAATAATTTCTTTCATGACACCTTTAATACATTTTTTAAAATCTACTTTATCAATTCGTCATGACAACAGACTGATAAAAAATGTGATACCACATTAATTATCTAGACAAAAAGAAAGCTCACATTAAATTATAGGTATGTGTTACCTTAACAACTTATCGAGATAACAGAAAGTTAACAGTAACGGTTGAACATCTGTTTTAACAATTTATCCAGACAAAAAGAAAAGGCTAACAGTAACTAATGTAACAATATTTGTTGCTAGGTAAAGTAAATTATGAGGACAACAGCAAAACTAACAGTAACTGAATAAGTATTAAAGTAAACCAAAGCGTAAACACCAGAAACTAAAATATAATGTGTGCTCATAATGTGTTGTTCACACTTGCTGACACAACAAACACTCAAGTTAACAACATCAGTAGCAAGCAAGTATTAGCCAGTAGTATCTGCACAAGTGACAATGATAAAGTAATGATAGAGTACCCTTTGGCAATGATGGCTGTTCAGACATGGTTGTTCCTGAAAACAGAAGTGATGCTGTTAAATACGCAGAGCTGCATTTCCTTTACCTGACACGTTGCAAACTAACCCCAGAATTTGTTGGCTGGTTGTAGTTGTTATAAGTCATGGAGGTTTGGTATTCATCTTCTTCTTTTGTCAAAATCTGCTTGTGCCGCTAGGCGTCGCAGTCTATCAGATGATCGGCAACCGAGCCAGGGCGCGCTCAGTCGCTTCATATGCCGTGATGTTATGAAGTCTCAAGTTGTCCGTGACTCCTTCAATCCATCTTCTTCTTGGTCTTCCCCTGCCTCTTGGTGTTTCGATTTTCATGTTGTATGCTCTTGATGCTGGCATCGTTGGTTCCATTCTCATTAGGTGACCAAACCATTTCATTCTTTGCTTCTCAATAAATTTAACGATGGGTATGGTTCCAATCGTTCTTGTAATCACATCGTTTCTCACTCAATCTCTTCTGGTTTTATTCGCAGCCATTCTCAAACATCTCATTTCACAGGTGGTTAGTCTTCTCTCGTGTTCTTTTGTTAATGTCCAAGTCTGACATTGATAACCTAATGTTGGTATTCATACTTTTGTTAAAATGGATTTAAAACAATCTATTGCCAGATTGGCCACAGCTGACTTCAAACCCTCCCTATGTAAGTTGCAGGGTTACATTTTGGGTGATAAACATACTGCACCCCCTTTTCAACAATATCTTAGGAGTAGTTTAATTAGAGGTGTTTCAAAGTCAGAGTGCATCTGCCTGAGAAGCAAGGAACCAACAGTCTGCATACAAACAATCTTGATCCAGATCTGTAAAATGGATGTGCATGCAAAATGCAAGTTCAAGATCAAAATGAAATAAGTCCGGGCAGGTTTGGATGAGCAGCCAGAACTTTCCACCAGAGTTTACAGCTGGTGAACGCTAATTACTTGTAGAAGTAGAAGACTTCAAACCCTAGTATGTCAGAGTTACAAAAAATGCTGTAATATAAAATATACTGCAACAAGACAGCCAAGTTGTGGAACCTTGTATAACCTGTAGACTGCTGAAGAAACTTAGGCTATCCATAGAATAAACATGGCACTGTTTAAATTACTTTTAAGAGGTAGATTTGACCCAACACATAATCAGAAACATTACTGTATATTTTAATTCATTCAATACCAAACAACTCACAATGAGTCTACTGTTTCAACTGACATAATATACTTTTGTGAACCCATTGTGACCCATCCAGGTGTGACACTTCCCACTCTATACTAAATATTACTTTAACTCCATCTGGCTCATGGTGTTATATTAACACCTCCAGTGTGAATATTTATTACTTAAAGTAACAAATTCTTAGAATGAAATGAGTTAAAGTAAAACCTGCTGGGTGCTGAAAGAGTTCAACATACTCAAGAATATAGGATGTCCCTAAAAAAGTATAAAAGTAGAGGATCCATTTTGTTCCTCGCTATATTAAATGGTGCGGCAGCATCCCATTTCTGGACAAATAGACATTCAGTGAGTGATATGGATATTACCACCCTGGCAGTCTTTACTTTCAATATACTTTCCCTGCTGCTCATTTAGAGAAAAGGTCAGACTAACATATTAAATACCACCTCAAAGGAATTTGACCCCATGACCACTACCTGGTCAGCAGCCAAGTGTGCTAGTCCATGGACTACTGTAGCACCCAAAATTCAAATGAAAACCTTAAATATATGTTAGCCATTACACTAACAACGCCACTGCCTTGTAATCTCTCAGTATTTATTGTTAAGGCTATCAAGAATGTTAAGCATGTGACACCACAGCACAGAGGAATACTGTGATGTCATGATAGATTAAAGATGGCAGCCCAGCTTTTGACATGCACTAAGAAGAAGCAGCATTCTGTTATCTGGTTTTTGTGTTCAATGAAGCAATAAAACTCATAGAAATTCATAATACAGCAGGATTTCTGTAACAGACGGTTCATGATTGAGTCACATGTTATATTTTGTAAACAATAAAATTTAAAATGTTCACAAACAAGAAGCTTGAGAAGACGAATATTTATCTTAAAGTGGATACTAAAAGTGTGAGAGACTAGCTAAAGGGACAAGAGAATCTGAAAGGGAGTTTTTATAAATGTAGGAAGCGTTCCTTGGGACTGAAAGGTTAAATACATTTTTATAAACACATACTTCCAATCAATAAATATGTGTATGCTTTTTATTTTCATTTTTAGTTTTAAAAAGAGAGGAGTCAGACATATAGCTCAATACAAAGTGAAACATTTAAATAAGGACAAGGATGCAATTGTTAACTATTAATAAGCACAGAAGCAACAAACACAATAAAGCAACAGAGCAATCTAATAAAAATCTAGCTAGGATGTTGACATCCATAGACATATATTTTAGTAGGTAGTTTTAATAACAAATGAACAACCAATGTGTTTTTTATTTTTCTCTGTTACAATGATGAGAGTTATTCTGCTTTTATTGTCACCAATAGGTGATCACTGACTGATGACCTCTTCTTCTAGGTCATTCATGTGGTGTTGGTAGTCATGTCTATCCATAACCTTCTGTCTCATGTACTTTCAATAAGTTCTGACACAGACAATCTTTCATGCCATGATGTCAAACCTTCCAGCATTTTCTCTTTAACTCTTTGAGTCCCGAGGAACGCATCATACGTTCACATGTTCCTACCTAGAAGCTCAATGAACGCACGATGCGCCGATATTATGATTCTCTTTACTACCCCCTGGACTTGTGATGCTATACCCCCTGGGACTCAAAGAGTTAAGTCTGTCTGTTTGTTCCCCTCTGACTTTACCACTGTCATGATGTCATCCAGTTGTCTCCTTCTCATGACATGACTTAGCTCTTTGAGTCCCAGGGGGTTTAGCATAACAGGCCAAGGAGGTAGTAAAGAAAGTAATAAAATCGGCACATCATGCGTTCCTTGGGCTTCTAGGTAGGAACCTATGAACGTATGATGCATTCCTTGGGACTCAAAGAGTTTAGATATTGACTGTCTCCTTATGATGTGCACAATCAGTTTCTCTTCATGAGGTAGTTTTTTTCAAGACATCTGCATTACTCTTTTTATCTGTCTAGGGTGTTCTCATCATTCCTCTATAAAATTACATATCTGCCACTCCTAAATAATTACTCACTAATTGGCCACATGTACATGATTCACATCCGTATTTCAGGATAGGATTGATAAAGTTCTTGAGAATTCTCCTTCTGACTTCAAGTGAATATTCTTTATTGTGTAAAATTTTGACTTTGCCTTAGCTATTCTATATTTAACTTCTCTGTTGTTTTTAGGGTACCTAAGTACTTAAATGTATCAACTTGCTTAAGGATTGTCCCATTCACTTTACTTTTGATGCTGCATTTTGGAGGATCCATTTTCTTTATAATTACAATTACTTATGTTTTTCAGCTGGTCAAACTAAGATCCTATGTCCATCATTTCTTGCAGCTGTCTTTTATTTTAAGCATCGCAACTAAATCGTCAGCATATCACAGGCTGTTCACAATATGCCCACCAACCAATATTCCTGGCATACCATGTATTGATCTTTTCACTGTACTAACTGAATAAATCGGGCAACAGTTCACATCCCTGTCTAAAGCTCTGTAATGTTTTGAAAAGTTCCCATTTGGTTGTTAGTTTTTATGGCTGCTTCTTGTTGCCAGTACATGTTTGACCCACACATTTAGTACAAGAACCTATGTCATGAAGAACCTAAGGCACAGTACCTGCAAGCAAGTTAAAGGAAAAATGTTCAGATCATGGATCTTTCCCATGGAAACATATAGATGTAAGGCATGGACTCACTCTGTCAATGAAGAAACATTTCGAACTTTTGAACTGAAATGCTATAGAAAAATTCCCAAGAGTTGAGGTAGAGGTATTTTGGCCATGTTAAATGTCATTATGGCATAGAAAGAAGGGATTAAGGGTACAGTGCCCTCCACCCCCCCCCCCCCAAAAAAAAAAAGGTAGAGGCAGCACTCCACAAAAGTGGACACAAGATATTGAAGATGAACTGGCTATGAAAGCACATAGGGCTGAAGAATTGGCTAGAGAAAGAAAGACTTTCAGGCATGCCATGAAAACAGTTGCATTCTGTAAAGGACCTGCTGTTTGATGAGGATGATGATGATGTCATTAGGTAATGAATCAACAACCTGTTTCTGATCAAGGATGAAATAACTGGAGATAAACAATCAGACTAAACTGTTGATGTCTAAAGAGGACTGGCACTGCATATATCAATAATTAACAACCAAAAACTAGCAGTCATTAAAAACAACCTAGTCAGTAAGTTCACACCTACATATTTCACCATTTCATGAAAGGTAGTTTTATAATCAACAAGAAAATAGACACAGTAAGAAAATGTAACTACACAGCCAAAATAAAAGATGATGGACAAACTAAACTAAGTTAACAGTTACTTCTAGAAGCACGTAGATATACTGGATAAAACTGGACTCACCTCGTCGTGTGGAGAAAGAGATTGGCAGTGAAGGTTCTGTAATGACTGAGTCCACTTCTGCACGAACACGGAAAGCATAATCTTTGGTGGGCTGGATTCCTGTTACTTTGTAACTAGGGTGAGGAAGCCTAGAGACCAGAGGGCGCCACTTCCATGTTGAAGGCTCAAGTGTTTCCACAGAGTAAGTGGTGGGCTTTGACAAAGCTGGTTGCTTCCAAGAGAGACGAAATGAAGTGGAATCTACATCTTCAATTTGTGGTGAGTAGATAGGACCTGAATGATGTAAAAATACAAAGAAAATATAATTCTGTTCAAAAGAAATGACTCTTATATTACTTTTATTTATTCTTCTTCAGTGTTTGCTCTTAGAAGAGCAGCTGGCACATAATGTTGTTGTTCACAGTTAGGCTGTGGGATATTAACCTTTCAGTACAAAAACATCTGATTTCTGCAAAACCTTAATAAGGTGACTTTTACAATAGACTTCAGGGGCTGTGGGTCTATTATATTTTTCCTTCCCTAAAGCGAGTCTCAAAACATAGTTTTTAAATTTTTAAAAAAATTTTCTTTAAAGTGTGCAAGTCATTTAAACCTTTCTCTTCTTCTTTTAAAATTTTTTTTTTTTTATTCTCAGATTATCATGTCTAACTACTTGTCTTATCATCAAAATGTTATTCCAGCAATGAGACTAGGGTCATTCATGTTGTTTATGCACTTCTTATGATGCTTAAAGTTTTAGGAAAGATGTTCCAGTTTGTCTGCCTCTCCACATGGACATCTGTCCAACTGTTATTTTGTTAAACAGATGATGGTAATGTCTGCAGTGTCCAGTCATCATCATCAGCCTTTTGTGCCATTTATTCATTATAGCAGTCTATGCCTCCAGTTTTGTCAAGCCTGTGTAATCTTTTTTTTTTTGGCATTATGAGTGCAGTCCAGTCCAGCACATTTGGCCACTTTCACCAATGATCAGCTAAAGGTTTTTCTTGGACCTCCTTCGTTCCTTAATCCATTTGTTTCCAATTTCAGTGTCTCCTTGGTGATTCTCTTATCGGCTTCCCCTCAGGATGCACCCAATATATCACCATTTTCTTTGTCATATAATTGTTGATTCCAGCAGTTGTCCGGGCATTTCTTTAATTTCTTCTCTTTTCTTGTATGCATCTCATGATTGATGTCCAAACATCAGCTTGAAGATAAATTTGTAGGATTTCAGACTGAAAAGTGTGTTTGTCATGCGAAAGACTCAGTTTTTTTTTTTTTTTAAAGTCATGTCTTTCAATTTTATGTCGTTCCCCCCCCCTTCCCCCCCCCCCCACTGTTTTATTAGAAATTGCTGTTTATTCTTTAGCAAAAGATATTAAAGGCATCATCATCATCAGGTGCCTTGCCGACTGGCGTGGGTGATCATGCCTCTCCACAATCTGCGATCTCCTGCAGCATGTGTCAGTTAGTGTGCCGACACACCTCCATGCCATGCAACAATACTGTCAAGAATCTTCTCTTGTTGTCTTCCTCTATCCCTCCTTCCACAGATCTTTCTAGTGGTCACAACATGTTCCATTTTTCATCTTCTTAAAACATGGCTGAATAATGATGACTGTCTCCTTCTGATGTCTGTGATAAGTTGTCTTTGGCTCCCGCCTCTTTCAAAACCTCTTGGTTGCTCTTTTTGGCTGTCCAAGGTATTTTAAGCATTCTTCTGTAAAACCATATCTCTGAGGCCTCAAGAAATTGTTTGGTCTGCCTACCGATTATCCAGGACTCACAGCCATATGTTTAAACTGGATGTATATAGCAAGCTAGAATGGTTTTCTAACCCTCAAGGACAAAGACATATTGCATAATGTGCTTTATTTTATAAAATGCAGTTTTTGCCTGTCCTCTTCTGTTTCTTTTCATTTCCTGTAGTTCTTTCTTTTCTTACAGTTTGTTTCTGTTAAGTTTAACATAACACTGTTCAAAGTTACCTTTCAGTTTTCGGTGCAGCCTTGAGGGAAAACTTGGCAAGCTAGTGCCAAAACTGTTCTCAGCCTGAATCCTGAAGCTGTAGTCTCTGTCAGGTTTCAGTCCTGACACATAGTAGCTGGTGCCAGCGACACGACGAGCTACTGGCTGCCACGAATGATCTCCTTCTTCCTGTAGAGAGATTATCAAATACATGCCTTGTTATCACCACCACAAAGATTACAGAGCTTCCATGGCATAGTTATCAGTATAAAGTACCTTGTTTTCACAACTACTCAATGTTACAGAGCTTCCATGGTAGAGTTATCAATATAAAGTGCCTTGTTATCACAACTACTCAAGGTTACAGAGCTTTCATGGCAGAGTTATCAGTATAAAGTGCCTTATTATCACTGCTTCTCAAGGTTACAGAGCTTTCATGGTAGAGTTATCAATATAAAGTGCCTTGTTATCACAACTACTCAAGGTTACAGAGCTTTCATGGCAGAGTTATCAGTATAAAGTGCCTTATTATCACTGCTTCTCAAGGTTACAGAGCTTTCATGGCAGATTTATCAATATAAAGTGCCTTGTTATCACAACTACTCAAGGTTACAGAGCTTTCATGGCAGATAGTTATCAGTACAATGTGCATTGTTATCACAACTACTCAAGGTTATAGAGCTTTCATGGCAGAATTATCAATATAAAGTTTCTTGTTATCACAACTACTCAAGGTTACAGAGCTTTCATGGCAGAAAGTTATCAGTACAATGTGCATTGTTATCACAACTACTCAAGGTTACAGAGCTTTCATGGCAGAATTATCAATATAAAGTGCCTTGTTATCACAACTACTCAAGGTTACAGAGCTTTCATGGCAGATAGTTATCAGTACAATGTGCATTGTTATCACAACTACTCAAGGTTACAGAGCTTTCATGGCAGAATTATTAATATAAAGTGCCTTGTTATCACAACTACTCAATGTTACAGAGCTTTCATGGCAGAGTTATCAATATAAAGTGCCTTGTTATCACAACTACTCAAGGTTACAGAGCTTTCATGGCAGATAGTTATCAGTTCAATGTGCATTTTTATCACAACTACTCAAGGTTACAGAGCTTTCATGGCAGATAGTTATCAGTATGATGTGCCTGGTTAGGTGACACAGGTAATCATAGTCTGCGGCCATCACCTGTTTTCTATGATCTGGACGAGTATGTTTCCTATTGACAGCTACACTGTGGTCTACAGGGCTAATTAGTAAAGCCATTTGTATTGCACTATGAAGGTACTGAGGTCATCCAGTTCTCAAGGGCAGTTTTTAATAGACATTCCTGAGGTTCATTGCCGGAGCTATGTAATTTGTGCTTTGTGTAACGCTCTCAGCAGATAAATAGCTGTTCTGCAGAGAGAGACTGTATAATATCATTGTGGATACTGTAATTAAGAAAGTGGTAATGCTGTGGCAAATATTGTAACCAAGATAATGACACCATAAAAGCACAAACTGCTTTCAGGATAATTATAATGCTATAATGGATACTACACCCAAGAAGAGATAATGTTACAGGTAGATACTGCACTCTAGAGAATGGCAATGTCTTAGAAATGGTTGATATTATAATCAAGATGTGGTAGCTTCAGGGCAGACACTGACTTAATACAAATTATGTCAAACAGTTACAAAGTGAGGTGGCCAGTGAACAAAATAGCTTGTCAAATCAAGACTCTGTGTTCACACACACACACACACACACACACACAAATGACAAGACAAAAGCTCTCTAGAGCAGCGCTTCTCAAACTTATTTTGCCGTGGCACCCTTGTCAGAGAAAAAAAATTTCCTGGCAGACTTACACTTAAAGCGGTTTGAATACTTAGGAAAAGAAGAAAAAAGTCCAAATTTAAGGTTCAGACGTCTTTGATGCGATGAATGAAACTGTCTGGATAGATTTTTCATTATTTACTTTATGTTTATAGGAAGTTTAGTTGACTGTGCCCTCAAATCGATTGAAGGTTGCTCTTGTATCTCTTTTTTTATGTAAGCATAGGTTGAGAATGCACTGCAGCCCCGCCAAGAGCATTGTTTTCTGAACACACATGCATCCATAAATTTTCTTGGTTTCCTCAATGGTATTTCTGATTTAAACTGCTGTCTTCACTTATCTCAAGCAGACCTGGACAAATTCTAGATTACCGCCACGGCATCCCTGGCATAAGCTTGCATCACCCCTAGGTGCCACGGCACTCAGTTTTGACCATCTAGAGAAGATGGTAGAAAAGTATTGACAGTCTGGCAATTCATAGTTGTGTGTGTAGATGTATGGTATAAATGTATTCTATGTGTGTTTATGATGTGTGTGTATACAGTGCGAGTAATGTATGAGTGTGTGGTGTATGCATGTCTGGTCTGAGTGTGATAAACGAATGTGTGGTGTATCATATGTAGGTGAATATGTGAGTCTGTGATGTGTGAATGTAGGCTGAGTGAGCCTAAGGTGTGAAATATAGGAGTGTATTGTATGTAAGTGTGTGATACATGAATTCAAGGTGTGTGAGTCTTTAATGTATGTAGTGGTGAAGGTGACAGAAAGTATGTGTCTATGTATTACAGTTCTTGTCAAATCTACCTCACTTCTAGGCATTGTAACTCCACAAGAAAGCGTCACCATTACATCTGGAGTCAAACCGACCACAAGCTGACAACATACCTGCATGTACACAGTGTAGGTGACTGGAACCAGGTCAGTCAGGTAGGAGGGAATCTCTGCAGGCTGCCAGGTCAGTCGCAGGGAGTCGGCCCTGACATCCGAAATGAGTGGCTCATGTTGGGACATGAAAGGAGCAACTGTGGAAGTTGAAACAAATTGTGGAAACAAATTTTAAAAATCATGAATGATACAAGAGAACTGACTATGATGATTGTTGCTGATGAGGGTGACTAGCATACAATAACTGTCACTGTGTAATTAGCATCTGAAGATTGTCACTGTGTGACGAGCATATGATTATTGTCTTTGTGTAAACAGCATATAATGACTGTCACTGTGTAATTAGCATCTGAAGATTGTCACTGTGTGACTAACATAAGATTATTGTCTCTGTGTAAACAGCATATGATGACCGTCAGTGTGTGACTAGCATATGATTACTGTCTCTGTGTGACTAGCACATAATGATTGTCACTGTGTGACTAGCATGTAATGATTGTCACTGTGTGAATAGCATATAATGATTATCACTGTGTGATTAGCACATGATGATTTTCACTGTGTAATTAGCGCATAGTAATTGTCTGTGTGACTAGCAGATGATGATTGTCACTGTATGACTAGCATATGACTGTCATTGTGTTTCTGGTAAATAATGATTATCTCTGTGTGACTAGCATAAGATGATTGTCACCATCTGACTAGCATTTGATGATTGTCACCATCTGACTAGCATTTGATGATTGTCTCCATGTGATTAGCATATGATGATTGTCCATGTGTGACTAGCATATAATGATTGTAACTGTTTCTAGCATATAATGATTGTCTCTGTGTGACTAGCATATGATGATTGTCACTGCGTGACTAGTAAATGATTATTGTTACTGTGAGACTAGCATATGGTGATTGTTACTGTGTAACTAGCATATGATGATTGTTACTGTGTGACTAGCACATGATGATTGTCACTGTGAGCCTAGCATACAATGATTGTCATATGTGACTAGCATTTTAAGAGTGTGACTGAGTGATTAGCCTACAATGATTGTCACCGTGTAACTAGCACATGAAGACTGTCAAAATCATTCACCAGGGAGTGACAGACATCATTTATAATACCTGCTCGTTTCTTCACCAGAACTAAATCAGTGGGGTCACTTATGCCAAAATCATTCTCTGCACGAACTCGAAATGAGTAGTCAATGTCTGGCCGCAGTTTTGTGGCATGGAAGTGTGTGCCGTTTATCTGTCTTGCTAGCGGGCGCCATTCTGAGTTAGGACCTTCCTGGACCTAGATGAGTTACAGAAATATTATCAGTAGAATGAAGGAAAAATCATATCAATGACATTAACAGATTTCAATTACAGTAAAATTTTGATTAACTGCCACACATTAAACTGTCAGTTTCTGTGATCCGCCATTGTGTAAAAATAATGTGTGTGTTTCAACAAACACAGACACAGATTACTTTTACACCCTTCTATGTAAAGCTGGAAGTGACTGTACTGTATGATGGCGGAAGGGACTAATCGTCGGTGGCGAAGGAGTTCAGCTTGATCTGCTGCTCCACAAACCCATCACTAACCAATCGCTGATGAGTTACATACTGGTTTCAGCTGTGACAGAGTAGTTTGTGTGTTTGAATGAATGTTGTGTTTCATAGTGCCCTGAAAAACTGTTTTGGTATAATGTTATGATAGTGTCACTGTTCTGTATTTTTAAATTGTGTTATGATTTTGCTCGCTTTTAAGTAGGCTTAAAAAAAATTAAGGCTTATCTCTTTGATTTTATTGTTCTGTAAAATTATCTTAAAATGGTTGAAAAGTTGGAAACGTGTAAAACAAGGTTTTAACCAGAAACTAAATTATCAAATCTATGAAGAGAGGTGAAACTTCTACTAGTATTTTTCAGATTTATGGTGTTATCAAAGGGTATCGACTGGTTTGAAATGCAAAAGAAGGTAAATACAATGCACATCCTACTTCTGCATAAGAAAATTATGGTACATGACCACACAGAAAACTTGCGCCTTAAAGACAAAGAAGAATATGACAGATTATTTTAAAAATAATATGGTGTTACAATAAATTTATGTGCATTACTACTCGTATATTGAAGTTTATATTAATCGTTTTGTAAAATTAAATACAATATGTATGTATTATTCACTTTAAAGGATTTTATTTTCATGTGTGTCAAAAGCCTGCAGTGAAATCATGTTACATTTCACAAATGAATTAAGAGATTTCTGTTATCCATCTAATCAGTTATCTGGCCCTGGTCCAGATGGTGATGCTTATCAAAGTTTGACTGCATCATTATCATCATCCTATTATGTCTGTTTTACATCACACAGTACAGTCAACTCCTTCCTTCCATTCTTTCCTGCATGCACATAATTTTTCTGATATGATGGGTGAAATCCAATCCAGCAAATCTGGCCCCTCATCAGTGTTCATTGTAGAGTTTCTCAAGGACATCCTTGCTTGCTGAATCCATTTCAGTAGTTTATTCCAGCTCACTTTTTTGGTGTTGTTCTCCCACAAGTAACATTGTCTACCTCTTGCATGCTTCTCCTCCATCCTTCCAGCAGTTGTGTTTCTATTAATAGCCCAGTCACCTTAATTTTCCGATGCTGATCTTATTCAACAATATTTTCTTCAATGTCTGTCTTTGTAACAAACAACACTTCCTAATATATACCCAACAATTTTTAAACACACAAAACAATCACCAACAGTAATAACATCACTTTCTCGCATTACTATTATAACAGCACCAACAGTAATAAACAGCAGCTCCTAAAATAACTGCTGAAATAGCACCAACAGTAACAAAGAACACTTCCTAATATATATCCAACAATTTTAACACCAACAAAAAAGCATCAACAGTAACAACACTTTCTCACATAACTTCTATAATAGCACTAACATGATCAAACAGCACTTCCTCATATAACTGCTACAGTAGTACCAACATGATCAAACAGCACTTCCTCATATAACTGTTACAATACCACCAACAGTAACAATCTGTAGTTTCTCATGTAAATGCTACAATAGCACCAACAGTAACAATCTGTAGTTTCTCATGTAAATGCTACAATACCACCAACAGTAACAATCTGTAGTTTCTCATGTAAATGCTACAATAGCACCAACAGTAATAAACAGCACTTTCCTCACAGAACTACTGCAATAGCATCAACAGTAATAAACAGCCCTTCCTCACAGAACTACTGCAATAGCACCAACAGTAATAAACAGCCCTTCCTCACAGAACTACTGCAATAGCACCAACAGTAATAAACAGCCCTTCCTCACAAAACTACTGCAATAGCACCAACAGTAATAAACAGCCCTTCCTCACAGAACTACTGCAATAGCACCAACAGTAATAAACAGCCCTTCCTCACAGAACTACTGCAATAGCACCAACAGTAATAAACAGCACTTCCTCACAGAACTACTGCAATAGCATCAACAGTAATAAACAGCCCTTCCTCACAGAACTACTGCAATAGCACCAACAGTAATAAACAGCACTTCCTAATATAACTGCTACAACAGCACTAACAGTAATAAACAGGACTTCCTGGAATAACTACTACAACCAACAACAGCACTTACAGTAACAAACAGCACATACAGACTCACCTCGACCCTGTATGTGACAGTAGAATAGTCTGTGATACGACTGGGCAGTTCCACTGACCGCCAGGTAAGAATAACTGATTCTGGCTGGACACTGGTCAAATATGGGGGATCTCTGGGCATTTTGGGAGGCCCTATATAGTAAAATTAGAGGCTATTATTATTTCTTGTGACAAACATGGTAAAGTACATATAATGCAAGTTCATTTTCTGAGTATCCTGAACAGTTTTCTTTTCTGTTGACTTAATGAGTTCAGGGAGAAAGCACAAGAAAGGATAACGAGACAAGAGAGAAGGCAATAAGATAAGAGAGAAAATAACAAAACAAAGGAGAAGACAAGACAAGGGAGAAGAAAGCCAAAGGAGGGAAAAAAGCCAAGGGAGAAGAGAAGCCAAGGGAGTAGATAAACCAGGGGAGAAGACAAGCCAAGGGAGTAGATAAACCAGGGGAGAAGACAATCAAGGGAGTAGATAAACCAGGGGAGAAGACAGTCAAGGGAGTCGATAAACCAGGGAAGAAGACAGTCAAGGGATAAAATAAACCAAGGGAAAAAATAAACAATGGGTCAAGAAAGTGAAGTTAGAAAATAAACCAGGGGACACGACAGTCGAGGGAGAAGAAAGTCAAGGGATAAAATAAACCAGGAGAGAAGACCATCGAGGGAGAAGAAAGTCAAACGAGAAGAAAGCCAAGGTAGAAGGCAGTCAAAGGGGAAGATAAACCAGGGGAGAAGACAGTCAAGGGATAAAATAAACCAAGGGACAAAACAGTCAAGGGAGAAAATAAACCAGGAAAGAAGACCAATGAGGGAGAAGAAAGTCAAAGGAGAAGACAAACCAAGTGAGAAGATAAGCCAAGGGAAGAATTCATGCAAAGTGAGAAGAAAGCATGAAAATATGTCCATAAAGATTTAACAGTTCCTTAATTCTACTGACCTGCCCTGCGTGGCAAATAGGCTACCATTGTTGGCTCGCTGTCAACCCCCTCATAGTCAGCAAACACCCGGAACATGTAGTCCTGGTCTGGATACAGAAACTGAAGATTGTAAGAATTCGTTGACAGTCGTCCAGCCACATCATACCATGTAGAACTTGGGGGTTCTCTTCCCTCAATGCGGTAAGTGATTGGTCGACTAGGTGCTCCACTTGCCAGAGTGGCTGGATGCCAGGAGAGTGTAGCAGATGTTGGTGAGATGTTGGACAGCATAGGCTCTCTAGTTGGCAGACTGGGAGCTGAAAGAGAAATCAGTGGTGATTAATAAACATCATAGTAGCCAGCCAAGGGTGGAATTACCTCTACACATGAGTACACATTTCTTTATTTGTCACTTATCTACCCGGGGACAGAAAAACAATATTAGCATCATCATTATCATTGAACCGTTCCATTTCTGCAAAGCTTGGCTGTTGTGAGACTCAACTGTTGTCTTGTTTGTTTTTATTTTTATTTTTTTTTTAACTTATCCGCATCAACATCCAAGTATGTCGGTCTGACATATTCATGCTATATGTCCTCTTACATAGCAGCCATTTCAGTGTCTCTATGCTTAATGTATCCAGTAGGAGTTTATCAGATCTTCTTTCAAATCTTCTTTCTTTGCCTGACAACCTGTTTCTGCATGCTGAATACTCATTTCCAACAGGTGGTCATTGTCTCTAACTCCTTTGTTTTGGTGTCTCTGGCAAACACATTCAGTATGTCTGGCCTGTTGGGACATGCCTCTTGCAAGAAGGATGGTCTCATTTCAGAGGATCTTTTGTATGGTAAACCTGTAACAGGAATAAGATTAGCAGGAAGGCCAGTGCTACACTACAAGGGCAAAAAGCAAACACGGCCTAAAAGATATGAACATGGACATAGACACTTTGGATAGATCAGCTGCAGACCAACTTCTCTGGATGCAGACAGTGAAAAATGGACTGTCATAGCTTGGATGCAGACAGTGAAAAATGGACTATCATAGCTTGGATGCAGACAGTGAAAACAAGGACTGTCATAGCTTGGATGCAGACAGTGAAAAATGGACTATCATAGCTTGGATGCAGACAGTGAAAACAAGGACTATCATAGCTTGGATGCAGACAGTGAAAAATGGACTGTCATAGCTTGGATGCAGACAGTGAAAAATGGACTATCATAGCTTGGATGCAGACAGGGAAAACAAGGACTGTCATAGCTTGGATGCAGACAGTGAAAACAAGGACTATCATAGCTTGGATGCAGACAGTGAAAAATGGACTATCATAGCTTGGATGCAGACAGTGAAAAATGGACTATCATAGCTTGGATGCAGACAGTGAAAAATGGACTGTCATAGCTTGGATGCAGACAGTGAAAACAAGGACTATCATAGCTTGGATGCAGACATTGAAAAATGGACTATCATAGCTTGGATGCAGACAGTGAAAAATGGACTATCATAGCTTGGATGCAGACAGTGAAAAATGGACTGTCATAGCTTGGATGCAGACAGTGAAAACAAGGACTATCATAGCTTGGATGCAGACAGTGAAAAATGGACTATCATAGCTTGGATGCAGACAGTGAAAAATGGACTGTCATAGCTTGGATGCAGACAGTGAAAAATGGACTGTCATAGCTTGGATGCAGACAGTGAAAAATGGACTGTCCTAGCTTGGATGCAGACTGTGAAAAATGGACTGTCAAGCTTGGATGCAGACAGTGAAAAATGGACTATCATAGCTTGGATGCAGACAGTGAAAAATGGACTATCATAGCTTGGATGCAGACAGTGAAAAATGGACTATCATAGCTTGGATGCAGACAGTGAAAACAAGGACTGTCATAGCTTGGATGCAGACAGTGAAAACAAGGAAGGACTGTCATAGCTTGGATGCAGACAGTGAAAAATGGACTATCATAGCTTAGATGCAGACATTGAAAAATGGACTGTCATAGCTTGGATGCAGACAGGGAAAACAAGGACTGTCATAGCTTGGATGCAGACAGTGAAAACAAGGACTATCATAGCTTGGATGCAGACAGTGAAAAATGGACTGTCATAGCTTGGATGCAGACAGTGAAAAATGGACTATCATAGCTTGGATGCAGACAGGGAAAACAAGGACTGTCATAGCTTGGATGCAGACAGTGAAAACAAGGACTATCATAGCTTGGATGCAGACAGTGAAAAATGGACTATCATAGCTTGGATGCAGACAGTGAAAAATGGACTATCATAGCTTGGATGCAGACAGTGAAAAATGGACTGTCATAGCTTGGATGCAGACAGTGAAAACAAGGACTATCATAGCTTGGATGCAGACATTGAAAAATGGACTATCATAGCTTGGATGCAGACAGTGAAAAATGGACTATCATAGCTTGGATGCAGACAGTGAAAAATGGACTGTCATAGCTTGGATGCAGACAGTGAAAACAAGGACTATCATAGCTTGGATGCAGACAGTGAAAAATGGACTATCATAGCTTGGATGCAGACAGTGAAAAATGGACTATCATAGCTTGGATGCAGACAGTGAAAAATGGACTGTCATAGCTTGGATGCAGACAGTGAAAACAAGGACTATCATAGCTTGGATGCAGACATTGAAAAATGGACTATCATAGCTTGGATGCAGACAGTGAAAAATGGACTATCATAGCTTGGATGCAGACAGTGAAAAATGGACTGTCATAGCTTGGATGCAGACAGTGAAAACAAGGACTATCATAGCTTGGATGCAGACAGTGAAAAATGGACTATCATAGCTTGGATGCAGACAGTGAAAAATGGACTATCATAGCTTGGATGCAGACAGTGAAAAATGGACTGTCATAGCTTGGATGCAGACAGTGAAAACAAGGACTATCATAGCTTGGATGCAGACATTGAAAAATGGACTATCATAGCTTGGATGCAGACAGTGAAAAATGGACTATCATAGCTTGGATGCAGACAGTGAAAAATGGACTGTCATAGCTTGGATGCAGACAGTGAAAACAAGGACTATCATAGCTTGGATGCAGACAGTGAAAAATGGACTATCATAGCTTGGATGCAGACAGTGAAAAATGGACTGTCATAGCTTGGATGCAGACAGTGAAAAATGGACTGTCATAGCTTGGATGCAGACAGTGAAAAATGGACTGTCCTAGCTTGGATGCAGACTGTGAAAAATGGACTGTCAAGCTTGGATGCAGACAGTGAAAAATGGACTATCATAGCTTGGATGCAGACAGTGAAAAATGGACTATCATAGCTTGGATGCAGACAGTGAAAAATGGACTATCATAGCTTGGATGCAGACAGTGAAAACAAGGACTGTCATAGCTTGGATGCAGACAGTGAAAACAAGGAAGGACTGTCATAGCTTGGATGCAGACAGTGAAAAATGGACTATCATAGCTTAGATGCAGACATTGAAAAATGGACTGTCATAGCTTGGATGCAGACAGTGAAAAATGGACTATCATAGCTTGGATGCAGACAGTGAAAACAAGGACTATCATAGCTTGGATGCAGACAGTGAAAAATGGACTGTCATAGCTTGGATGCAGACAGTGAAAACAAGGACTATCATAGCTTGGATGCAGACAGTGAAAAATGGACTGTCATAGCTTGGATGCAGACAGTGAAAAATGGACTTTCATAGCTTGGATGCAGACATTGAAAAATGGACTATCATAGCTTGGATGCAGACAGTGAAAAATGGACTATCATAGCTTGGATGCAGACAGTGAAAACAAGGACTGTCATAGCTTGGATGCAGACAGTGAAAACAAGGACTATCATAGCTTGAATGCAGACAGTGAAAAATGGACTATCATAGCTTGGATGCAGACAGTGAAAACAAGGACTATCATAGCTTGGATGCAGACAGTGAAAAATGGACTATCATAGCTTGGATGCAGACAGTGAAAAATGGACTGTCATAGCTTGGATGCAGACAGTGAAAAATGGACTGTCATAGCTTGGATGCAGACAGTGAAAAATGGACTGTCGTAGCTTGGATGCAGACTGTGCAAAATGGACTGTCATAGCTTGGATGCAGACAGTGAAAAATGGACTATCATAGCTTGGATGCAGACAGTGAAAAATGGACTATCATAGCTTGGATGCAGACAGTGAAAACAAGGACTATCATAGCTTGGATGCAGACAGTGAAAACAAAGACTGTCATAGCTTGGATGCAGACTGTGAAAAATGGACTGTCCTAGCTTGGATGCAGACTGTGAAAAATGGACTGTCCTAGCTTGGATGCAGACATTGAAAAATGGACTGTCCTAGCTTGGAAGCAGACATTGAAAAATGGACTGTCCTAGCTTGGATGCAGACATTGAAAAATGGACTGTCATAGCTTGGATGCAGACAGTGAAAAATGGACTGTCATAGCTTGGATGCAGACAGTGAAAAATGGACTGTCGTAGCTTGGATGCAGACTGTGCAAAATGGACTGTCATAGCTTGGATGCAGACAGTGAAAAATGGACTATCATAGCTTGGATGCAGACAGTGAAAAATGGACTATCATAGCTTGGATGCAGACAGTGAAAACAAGGACTATCATAGCTTGGATGCAGACAGTGAAAACAAAGACTGTCATAGCTTGGATGCAGACTGTGAAAAATGGACTGTCCTAGCTTGGATGCAGACTGTGAAAAATGGACTGTCCTAGCTTGGATGCAGACATTGAAAAATGGACTGTCCTAGCTTGGAAGCAGACATTGAAAAATGGACTGTCCTAGCTTGGATGCAGACATTGAAAAATGGACTGTCCTAGCTTGTATGCAGACATTGAAAAATGGACTGTCCTAGTTTGGATGCAGACATTGAAAAATGGACTGTCCTAGCTTGGATGCAGACATTGAAAAATGGACTGTCCTAGCTTGGATGCAGACATTGAAAAATGGACTGTCCTAGCTTGGATGCAGACATTGAAAAATGGACTGTCCTAGCTTGGATGCAGACATTGAAAAATGGACTGTCCTAGCTTGCAAGAGGCCAAATGCAGCATGCTATCGAGATGAGATGTCTGAGACAAAACCAGCCTCTGAATAATAGAGTAAAAAAGTTTTTGTGTTAACTATGTGGCAGAGCTACTGCCACTCCTGCATTTAACTTTTTAGGCATAGCAGACACTGTTAGCAAAAACAGCAGCCCTTAAAACTAAAGCTCTAAAGAAGCTAAAGGACCCTTTTCGCGGCTCATTATTTATTGACCAATCAGCCCTCAAAGGTTGATGTGGTCAACATCACGTCAGCCACATTTTCTTCCCATGATTTTACCTCGACCCAGTTTTAGGGTGAAACGTACTAACTCAATATAAAGATACCAGAATGTTCCGGAATATTTAAGAAATTCAGTAACAACAATTAGCACTGACCAATTCACCTGTGAATATGTACTAGCAACAATTAGCATTTGCCAGTTTGCCTGTGAATATATACTGGCAACAATTAGCACTTGCCAGTTCACCTGTAAATATATACTAGCAACAATTAGCACTTGCCAGTTTGCCTGTGGATATGTACTGGCAACAATTAGCACTTGCCAGTTCACCTGTGAATATATACTAGCAACAATTAGCACTTGCCAGTTCGCCTGTGGATATGTACTGGCAACAATTAGCACTCACCAGTTCGCCTGTGGATATGTACTGGCAGGCTGTACTCCCCAGGACCATACTCTGTCTCAGGGCAGATGCGGAAGCGATAGTCACGATCTCCCCGCAATCCCCGAATTGTGTACGATGTATCTGGGATACTTCGTGCTGCTATTACCCAATCACGTCCTGGGATTTCCTGGTAAAGATTAACTGTAACAATTACCTTCTTGATACTAGCAATTTTAATTCTTATGCAGTGGCAATTTCAATACTTAAACAGTGGCAATTTAAACACTTACACATTAGCAATGAGTTGAGTTAAGAACCAACATTACAGCACCCAGGACTTTCCTGTTCATTCTCTGTCCCCAGGTAGCATAGAAACAGTAGCAATGTAAATATTTCAAACATTAAATATATAACTGCTTAAATCACCAGCAATTAAAACACTTAAATACAAGCAATTTAAGCTAAACACTTAAACACTAACCATTTAAATACTTCAACACTACCAATTTAATCAGATCAATTTAAACACTTAATCAATAACCATTTAAACACTTAAATTCTTATTCAAACTAGCAATCTGGAAAACTGACATACCAGCATTTTAAATACTTACACCCTAAGAATTTAAATACTTTAAACAATAGTAATTGTAACACTTACATACTAACAATTTAGATACGTAAAACACTTGCAATCAAAACACTTAAAACACAAGTATTTTAAACACTAGTAAAAACACCATAAGCCTTTCTAAAGAATAAAACACATGCCCTTTTATTCTGTGTGGTAAACATTTGGATAACTCTACCGTCTGTCCCTCACTGGCAGTGCTGGAACAGCTTAAGGCAAATAAGTTCTCTAAATGCTGATTTTTTTATTTTTTTTATTGATCCAGAAATAATGAGTGTAAACCCTTTGGCTTGGTACTATGGATATCGCAACTCTTCCATTTTGATTCCATGATAGATACCGTAAATCTGGGAAATATGAGGCTTTTTTGCCTACCCTCAAGCGCGAACTTGGACCACAAGGAGTTTATCACCCCATCGCCGTCCAGACTGTTTTAACCAACTGAGCTAGCGCACCAGGCTCTACATGCTGATAAATGATAGTGATGAGTTTGATAGCAATATCAAGAATGACAACTCACTGACCTGATAGTCCACAGTGTATGTGATAGGAGTTGTGTGCCTTGAGTAGTAGGGCAGCTCAGCAGGTTTCCACTGTAGCCTCACAGCATCACTGCTCAGCTCCGAGATGATTGGCTCCCTCACAGGCAGACGGGGCCTCACTGCCGATGGGATACAACATTCCTGACATGAACAAGTTACTACCAGAATTGGTTAGACTGTCCACTATTTCATTACTCCGGATCATGATCTACATGTGCCCTGCCGATAAGCTTATGCAGTCATGGCTGGTCATCACCAGAATCATATATCAGCTAGTGGTCTTGCCTAGGCCCACTCTGTGTGGTTAAGACATTCAAGTATTTATCTCTCTGTATTCCCCTTACTCTTTTCTTAATAATCCTGCACCAAGTTTACTTGTGACGGCATCACCATCTATTAGCAGATCCTATACAGAACGTTGCTCTTAACATGGCACGCCTGAAAGTTTCTCTAGTTAGTTAGTTGACAGATTATCCTCACTGCACATCAAACCATTCATTCCATAAGTACTCAGATCCCCTCATCAGTAGTTCCTGAAGCGTGTAGTGGCTGATGACACCAGTCCTGTGTTGGTTTCTTATTCTTCTTTGGCTTCCTGCATATGTTCTTGTCTGGCTTAATACACCACACACTCCATCATCCGCCCGTGTTGGGCCATTCCTTTCTGTCCTCTACTTCATTTCTTATTACATCCTTTCTTCTCAAAATGTCCACAATTTGTAACATTCCTGCCATCTGTCAACCTGGTCATTCTCAGCTTCATAGATTCTCTGGTTAATTAGTCCCACTTCACCTAAAGGAAAGATTAATATGCTTCTCCTGGCTGTACCCTGAGGGGTGTTGTCTGACCAGTGTTCTAGTCTATGTTTCTAGCACTTTAATTGTCATGTGACTTACTAATAAATTGGCTTTTCTTCTATGTCTCAGTGACCCCAGGTGTTGTAGCTAGCAGGATTTTCAAGTGTTAATTACTACCACTGCTAAGCTTGACTATCTCTGAGCAATCTGTGCTACCAGAACTTATCGCAAATGGGATCCTGGCCTAGCCTCAGCAAAACTCCACATCTACTCTCATCAGTGCTTACATCCTTCAGTGTCAGATGCTATGTTGTAATCTATGAACTAATTGTACTGGCTTCTCAGCTCTGTATCCACTGTACACTCAAGTCTTCTTCTATACCTAGTCTCCAGTGTTCCTACATCAGCCTGGTCATTTCCTTGCACGTCTGTGTGCCCTGGTTTGAATATGAAACTGATATGTATTAGCCCTGACAGCCTCAGAGACTACAACCACCATCTTTGGACCTATCATCATCCATTTTGTGCCGTTAGACATCACATTGGGCTCATGTTCCATTCCTCCATTCTGCTCTATTGCATGCAACTTTCTCTATTTCTGACATGGAGTTCAGTCTAGCATTTTATTTGCCTCTTGTAATAGTTCTTCTTAAAATTTCTCTTGGCTGTCCATTTTCTCTCTTTCTCTCTCAGGGTACTTGTTTCCTTTTTCAATACCTTTTTTGTAATTCTTTGCTTATTTCATCTCACAGTGTGTCTAGTATATCTCCACCATCATTTCTTCAGATCCAGCCCATCCCTAAGCATACTCACTGTTACAGAGAAAACATGTGTGGGTCAAGGTTTGCATCTCCAGCCATGTTGTTGTTTTGGTCACTGCCATGAGCTTCTTAGTCAGACTATGTGTAGTCAAGGCGACAGCACCAGAATCTTGCTTCACAATTCTAACTCCAACCTGAGCCATAAAAGCCCATAAGCTTCTTAGTCAGACTATGTGTAGTCAAGGCGACAGCACCAGAATCTTGCTTCACAATACTAACTCCAACCTGAGCCATAAAAGCCCATGAGCTTCTCATGTGGTGAACCACAGACCTATCTGTCTAAATGACAGGTTCCCCTCTAAAAGAAAATCCAGACCTGCACTTCTGCCTCCACAGCGGCTTCATTTTCTGTCTAGTCAGATGCATACAGAAATGGTCGTATAGGACTCTTTTGGCACTTGTACCCATTCCTGACAAGGTTCTATGTCCTCAAGAGGGCACACCTGCTAAATAATGTCCTTGGCCTGACCCATCCCTGATTTTCCTCTTTTTAGCCTGCAACCTTTTTTCTAGCTAATTTTATTATGCAGCGGGTGTCGTGTATCTACACTGACTCTGGGGTATGTTCATGCTTGGCAAATTGGCTTGACCTCACCTCTCAAGCTAGCATGATATGTTTTGTGCAGTTTTCTTCTCCAACAGCTTGCCCATAGTATTCTGTATGGTGATTACCCGATACCCCTGAATTTGTGTGTGGTCTTTGCCAGGCATCAGCACAGGTATCAGATAGCTGTCTAACCAATCCTCAGTGATACTAACATCCACTATAATGTTGTTTTACAAATCTGCTAGTTTCTTCAATCGAATCTCAGTACACCTGCCAGTGTCCTCACATCTTATATCATCTGGACCTGGTGCACTGTTTTTTGTTTGTTCCTCAAAGCACAGCCTTTATTTCATTCACTGTCACTATGTCCTCTTCTGCAATTTTCTGGGACTTAACCTATCTGAGGTAACCTTGGAAAAACTGTGTTCTCTCTAGTGTTCAAATAGGGCCTTGCCCTCGAGAACATGAACAATCTCAATCCACAATAACCAGTACCATAGACTGAGCCTCTGGTAGTAGAAGGTGGTGAATAGAAATGACTGGCATGGCACATGGTGATGATGATGGGTATAAATTAAAGATAATAGCATTTATTACAACCAATGTCTTGTGCAATTATTCAGTTTCATGTTTGGACTCCAGTTCAGCACCTTTACATTCTTTAAAAAAATTATTTTCAATTTTTAAGCCAGCACACATGCAATAACCTCTCACATACCTGGCATAGAGGTTAAGGTAACTGGTGCCGTTGGTTCAGCCAATCCCAAGGGAGTCTGGGCTCGCACACGAAATGAGTAATCTGAGGATGGTTTCAGTCCACCAAGGCGGTAGTTAGTGTCTCGAATGTTGGTGGCCAAAGGGCGCCACTCTCGTTTAGGGTACTCCAAAGCTTCAATCTGATAGGACACTGGTTCTCCGGTCTTCAATGGTGGCACTGATGCTGACCTCCAAGACAGTCTGGATAACAGATAGGGGGAATAAGTATATGGTTGTTATAATAAATTCACTGAACACAAACCACAAACAAGAAACTAAGCACAGAACAAATAGGAAGCAGGGTGGCATATACAGAAGCAATCAAACGATTCAACTAAAGTCTTTATCAGCAACTACCAAAATAACAAGATATAACTCTCCCATATGGGAGCTGGTGTCTAGGGTTCTTCTTCTTGCAGTGGCCATTGAAAAATCATTTACTTATTATCTGTTTATGTTGTTTTTTTCACCCTTTACTGGGTATCCTAATCATAGCTTGTGTTCAGGGAAATTATTTCTTGGTACCCGTTTTACCATAGACACACCATATGCATCACTACAGCCCCAGTGTTTGACAGTAACAGATACTGAGTTAGTCACAAGGTAAGAAATAGTCAGTTGTCACAAAGACAGATTTGTCACTTGCATCACGCGACAAAGAACAAGCTAAATTTTGTTAGGTTCTTTTGAGATTGAGTGAACAGTGCAGAGGCATAAATAAGTCATCAAGGTCAGAGAAGAATTGCTTTGTGAGGAGTGACTAGGCAATCTGGCAATCTGGCACACCTGCACAAACATTTCAAATGGCCAGGAATGATTATATTTGCTAAAAATAGCATTTAAGTGGGGATTTCTTACCCAAAAAAATTGGCTTATTATTTTTAATTAGATAGCTTGACATCATAATTTCCCATCAGTTACTGTAGTAACCCAGCATACAAATCACAGGTCCAGGGCAATGTAGGTAACCCAGTTTAATTCTCTACTGAATTTATATATGCTGACTGCTTCTCTTATTCTGTATGTACCAAATCTAATATTTCTGCATCCATAAATGGAATTGTTAGGCTTTTTTATGACCTGTGCACCATGGGGTTTTTTTCCCAGGGAATTACTGAAATGGCTTTGTTTTTTCTAGCTCATCAGGGCAAAGTTATTACTGACTGCTATACTCCTGCTATACTCCTGACTGATATATTCCTGACTGATATACTCCTGACTGATATACTCCTGGCTGATATACTCCTGACTGATATACTCCTGGCTGATATACTCCTGACTGATATACTCCTGACTGATATATTCCTGACTGATATGCTCCTGACTGATATACTCCTGGCTGATATACTCCTGGCTGATATACTCCTGGCTGATATACTCCTGGCTGATATACTCCCGACTGATATACTCTTAAAATACTTGTGCTGTAAAATCATGATTTAAAAAAACCAAATATAGGAGTGATATTAATAACTGAAAATCTACAATTGTGAAACCCACAACACACAAACAAATGACTATAATACTTTATAACCGTAAAACTAGCAATTGAATAATGCAACTCAGTTCTGAAATGAAATGTTGATGAGGCTAAAAGAACTGCAAAAACAAAAATGCAACAAACAAAAAAAAACAAAAAAAAAAAAATGTTTAATCCATTTACAAGCCATTCAGCAGAAATCAGACATCTGACTTTTATGGAAAACTAAGGTACTACTAGTCATCCCATCTCATCAGCCACAAGATTTTGGCTGTCCTATGTTCTAGCGTGTAGAAAAGTGGCTCGGGTTCATTTGACAAACGTGTGCAGCTATCCTTTCAAAACTCTTTTTTCTGTTTATGATCATTGTTTCTGGAATGTGTTGTTGCTGTAAGTAGGTCTCAGGTGCCAAAGGCACCCATGCATAGGAAAGAAAGTACTGCAGGGAGAAGCGCCAAAGACACAACGGTTCATGAGTATCAAATCATTGATGTTTTTTTATTTTTAGTTTCGTTGTCGGTGGCTGTTGTCGGTGGCTGTTGTCAGTGGCTGTTGTCGGTGGCTGTTGTCGGTGACTGTTGTCGGTGGCTGTGGTTGGTGACTGTTATCAGTGGTGTTGTCGGTGACTGTTATCGGTGACTGTTGTCGGTGGCTGTTGTCGGTGGCTGTTGTCAGTGGCTGTTGTCGGTGGCTGTTGTTGGTGGTTGTTGTCGGTGACTGTTGTCGGTGACTGTTGTCGGTGGCTGTTGTCAGTGGCTGTTGTCGGTGGCTGTTGACGGTGGCTGTGGTCGGTGGCTGTTGTTGGTGGCTGTTGTTGGTGGCTGTTGTCGGTGGCTGTTGTCGGTGGCTGTTTTCGGTGGCTGTTGTCGGTGGGTGTTGTCGGTGGTGGATGTGCTTAAAATATTTAAAATGAGGAACATATGACACCTCTAGACTATTGGAGTGCCCTGAGAAATCCCCTATGAAATCTTGTAGCTGTCGAGATGGGATGAATTTCGTGACTAATACTCCCACTTACCCATAACTTCCTGGTTCAAGGTTACGGATATGCAGATCCTCGGCCAAAGGTCGCATTGGGCCTGAAAAAATAATGAAGAGTAGCCTTAGTAACAATGATGTCAATAAGAACATCAAAATGTGATGCACAATTAATTAATCAGAGAAAAGCACATAGGCATCAGTGTGTTCAGAACTTTAATACGTTCTGTACTAGAGGACAGTTAAATTAGTTGTAAATTAGCATGTAATGCATTCCTTGGTAACTAAACTTGGTAACTAAAGGATTAAACAGTAGACATTTGTTTCCCTTTCTCATAAAATTGAAATAGTCTCAACAAATCGAATACCTATTATTCTGTAGAAAGATATACATTTAAAGCTAGGTTAATGTGAAATTAGTTTAACTAAGAAATTATGATATTGCAGCCTACAGGCACATACACCAAAAAATTTTTTTTTTAAATTGAAGGTCCTATTTCTATGCCTTCTTGTGTATTGAGCATATGCTGCCACCCCATACTGTTATAGACCAATCAGCACTTTACTCATTCTGTCCCAAAGAAGGCACCATGTGTGATGGGCTACTTCTCCTTCGTGCTTATTAACCAGTCAGAGATCCTGAGGCAACACGGACTAACAACAACACATGCAACACATGCCCAGGATAGAAAACTGCGACTCCCCACTACGCTGTGAGGCAATTGTGGACAAGACAAGACAAGACAAGTCATCTGTGATTGTACGTTCTCTCTCATATTTTGCTAGAGAATGCTAATGAAATCTGGCAACATTTATTTTATACAGTGCATCTATTTGGCTGTTTTAGACTAAGTTAACTTGGTAGCATCATTCATATTTTTCTTAAATCTGCTTCAGTGGGTTGCTAAGACTGTGAACACAGCACCGGCAGGTTAGTGCACTAGTTAGTGGACCGGTGCAATTTCAAAACAAAAAACAACAACAACAAACTAATTTAAAAATAACTTCTTCTTCTTTCTTCTTTGTGTTCACCAGCTGTACACTCTGGCGTAAAGTTCTGGTTGTTCGTCCACTACTGAACTGCAGTCATGCTCCAGAACCTGGGTGTTTTACAGTTTTACAGATCTGATTCAATTGAATGCAGACTGCTGGTTCCTTGCCTCTCAGGCAGATGCACTCCGACTTCAAAGGAAGCTCCCCAGTTAGTCAACTCTTACGACATGCTTTTGGGGAGGCAGTGGGTCTATTCTTGTTTTCCCCACAATAGGGCCCCGGAACCCACACGGGGGTTAAAAATAACTGAGAAGAGAATTAGACAGAGACAAGAAAACAGGGAGGACACAGATGGAGCTGCTGAGAATGGCAACAGATAGGACATTTTGTATGTTAGCTGTGCAGTCGTCAAGGAAGAAAACGGGCTTTTGAGCTGAAATGCTACAGAAAGATTCTCAAAATACCATGAACCAAAAAGGACATAAATATTGACATTCTCAAAGATCCAAATGTCAAGCAAGATTGGCTAATAAACTTAATCTTGTCTCAGGAACTGAAACATTTCGGCTTTATCAAGCACCATAGTGGATTGGAATGAATAGTAACTTAGGGCATGGTACGTATGCTCCAAAATAGACAAGGATGAGAAGATGAAAAAGAAGACAAGGAGGAGAAGAATGGGGAGGGGAAGGAAGAGGAGGAGGATAAGGTGACAACCATTTCAATTTATAGAATTCTCTCTTGTGAGAACTTAATTGTTTCTAAAACTTAAATCTTGTAGAATCACTTCAGCAAATCACATACTTGGATGTCGGTACAGCCCAGTTGGATGGGAAGGTGGGCTGACTCCATACTGGCTGAGTGCTCGAACTCTGAACCTGTAATCATCAGTGGGTGAGATATCTGGCACACGATAGCCGGTAGTCGGTATGCCACTTGCTAAAGGGCGCCAGCCCTCCAGGCCTGGGGTTTCATACCTGATGAAATAAACAGACAAATATCTGGTCAGTCTTACTTCATCCAGCATCAAGCACTGCATCATGTTTGTAGATTGTTATTGTCATTATACCAAGCATCAGCAAATCACCATTACATGAATATTCTTCTTCTTATTCTGCGTTCATCCAAAGATGTAATTGCGTTGTGCCCGTTTACAGCATGGCTGCGATATTTGCACTTTTTGGAGAACACATCCGACTTCCGCAGGCATTTGTTGACCGGGTTAGCCTTCCTGGTTTACATGAATATAATGTCCAGGTTATGGAAGAGCTGATTTTCTGACTATAAAAGTGATAGCTATGGGAACACTCACACTGGACAAGGACATTCTAAAGACCATTTATGAACAAACGCTGAAAGAAGACACAAGATTAGATGAGCTAGCATGTATAAAAATGTGTGAATGATAAAAGTAAGTGTGGATCCAGCAAGGAGGAACATATGAGACGAACAGAATGGCGTATGTTTAATCAGTTTGATTTTCTGGGGTAGAAACAGTTGAATAATATCTATCAAGGTACTGAAAGAGTTCATGAACATGTTTAAATTGCTTACTGAACAAGAGACTCATTGATCTGATGTATCATATGCAACATACCAGAACTATACAAGACACAGTACCATAAAACCCTTCTTGTTGGTGACTTCAACGGACACTCGCCACGTTGGGGTTAGCCTGACTACAATAGCACAGGGAAGTACATCGAAGATGCTTGTGAAACAACTAACCTATTAGTGCTGCAGGACACAGAGTCTACACCTACACTGTTACACAGGGCCCACCTATCTCTCAGCCGACCAGACCTGACCATCTGCTCATCTGACTTAGCAGACGCAAGCTATCCCCAAGTCCTGGACGACATAGGAAGTGGCCACAAACCTATACTCACAACTGTAAGCACCACCCCTAAATTACGCTTCAAGCAGAGAACCCGTTGGAATTTCCGAAAAGCAAACTGGAAACTATTTCAGGAAACATCTGACTGCCTCCTGGGAAGAATTGACAACAGCTGTGTGGAAACTTTTTGTGAAGACATAACACAAGCAATCCTGAATGCAGCGTCGAAAGCCATCCCAAGGGGCAGCCGGAAGGCATATAAACCTTTTTGGAATCAAGAAATTCAAAATATTATATCTGAAAGGAATAAAGCAAGAATATTTCTTAAAACTGCACGTTCAACAGAAGCAAAGATCCAATACAATAAAGCTTGTAGTTAATAAGGCTAAAAGAGATAAATGGACAGAAACTTGCTCCAACTTAGACCTTAGACAGAATGGAAATAAAGCATGGGCTTTAGTTAAAAACCTCTCCGGAGAAAGTAGAAGGGTGAACCCAAAACCAGTGACAGATGGGAGTAAGACAATCACTGAAGACAAGAAGAAAGCAGAACATTTCAATCATTATTTTGCCTCAGTTAACAGAGCAGGTAAGCTGTCAGAACTCAATAGAATACAGCTCTCTCAGTTGAAGAAACAAGAGAGAGCTCCAACAGCCAGCGACTCCCTTTTTGAAAATGAATTTAGCATGGATGAATTAGAGCAAGCCCTGAAGAAATTAAAACCTAGAAAATCTCCAGGCCCAGATAAGATCCACAACGAAATGCTGCTACATCTTGGCCGGTCTGGGAGAGAAGTAGTTCTCAGGCTTATTAATAAAACTTGGAGGTCAAGCAAACTTCCAAAGGCATGGAGGAATGCATATATCGTCCCCCCCTTAAAACCAAAAAGCCTCCAGATGACCCCAAAAGCTACTGCCCGATATCCTTAACATCATGCTTGGGCAAAGTTGCAGAAAGAATGATAAATGTGACAACACGGGAGAAATATTTCAGTCCGGCAAGAGTTAATTGCAAGTTTTAGTTAAAAGAATTGCGCACGTAAAATAAATATATTTAAACAGAGACGCTAAAAAAATAAAATGGTACGAAGGCGCACATAATTTATGACGTTTTGTGGTGTTACTAGGAGATCTAATTTCGTAACAACACAGAACGATTGCCAGCCATACCATCGGCCTAACACCCACAATAATAATACCATAGACGATTTCAGGTGAGATTTATAATGGTAGGGAGTAGCTGAGATCCCCTATAAGCCTTAGCTGTATCCTAAAATATGTTATTGAGATCCTACTATTCTATATTCTACCATTGTATAAATAGTCCGTGACTTCATCAACCTTGATACTTGTCCGTTGGACAATTCACTAGTCCTTACATATTATGACGTTCTTAAAGTTACTATTCCCCGTTAGGACTATTCAATAGCGAACCCTTCTTCCCTCTGTCACTCTTATATTCATTCGGTCTACTTGCGTAAAGATCTTATAGTAGAAACCATTATCCTGTGCCATGTGGTATCATCAGTCGGGTATACATTACATTGCTTATGTTTATTATATTATGCAACATATAATTTGAGTAAAAGTCGTCAACTGTGTGGGCATATCGGGTTGGCCTATGTGTTATAGACCAATTGGTACCTGGGTGTTGATGTGGTCAACATCACACCTGCCGCCTTTACTTCCCATTACTATACCTGGTGTCCGTTAAGGCGAAGTCGACCTGGGTTTTGAGACTCGAACTAATAACTGTCCAATCCGCAGGCGAATGTGTGTCCGCTTAATTATGTCAAGTTTTATATGATCGTGCCATAAATTAGATAGGTATAAACCAACATATTATAATAGGGTGGAGATGTATAATTTTGATTTACTTGTAGAGAAA